TTTAGATTTCTGTAAGGCACACAGCTGCAGGGCACGTACGCTGTGGATTATAATAACATTAGGCTGAATTAAAGCTTCAGTCATCTCTGTTAGAAACTATCCATGGATTATTGCGAGAACGGATGTACATTAGATTTATTTCAAGGAACTGAAAAAAAACTGGGGGGGGGGTTACGATCTTCAATCTTTCTTAACAAAATATAGGTGGCCGTAAGAATTAGTACGGTTTTATAATGTGATCTAAACAATAACTATTATTTTTTGTAATCATTAAAGAAGTGTCGGAGATTTAGCTTGTCACGATAGTGGGGCAGATAGGCTATTTGGGGGAATTGTGTCTTTGATGACACAAGCATGGCATTTGACACACAATCAGAGTGTGTCTTGGGAAAGATATTTGGCTATGGGGCCATCGCATATTTGTCCTTTGACAAAATATAGGTAGAATAACAAGCAATTTTCAAAATTTTCAAAATGGCCGCCATTGCTTGTTTTTCTACCTATATTTCTTCAATCTGCGATAGCCCTATAGCTAAATATCTTTCTCTTAAAAACAAAAAACAAAACACTAATTAAAATGTAAAATTTTAAACTCTTTGTAACCAATTTAAACTGACTTTTAATACTCTGTCCAGTGTCCACAATATTCTTATGTTTAACTTTAAATATATCTTTGTTTTTGTGCATGCATTTTAAAGGGAATGTACAACATTTGCATTTGCTGCATTTTTCAGAAATAAATGGATTTGGAGGATTAGTATGTAATAGCAAATGTTGTTAAACTGAGTTGCTTCACGTTTTGGGCTCGGAGATGCTTGAAAATCCAAGAAAACCAACCATGTTTTTGTATTCTGGTTCCCTGACCCCAAGCAAGATGCAACGGAGCAATTTATAGACTTTGGGAAATTGTAAGGTCAGAGAATCAGTCTAGCAGGCTTGTACCCCTTCACATGTGTGTAATCAATTGCAAGAAAATGCGGAATAACTAAATATGAAAAATTAGCAGCCCTTTTTGAAAAAAAGTCAGTTTTCTCCAACGCTGGTCAGCCGACCAGCGTTGGAAAAATACAAGTTTTCTTGAAAATGTCAGCACACCAGGAGCCACGATTTTACAGGTTGCTTTGGACTATCATCCCCAAGCAATCCAGTAAGATATTTCATGATAATTTGATCATTTCGTTTTTTGATATTTGCAAATGTTGTATCTTCCCTTTAATGTTTAGGTTTTTTATACTTGATCATGTTGTGTTTTAGATACAAAACAATGTAGTATATATTTTTAAAGATCGTATGTTCACATGTACAATTCAGTTTTTTAACCGCGAGACATGTTTTTAATAAGCCATTATTGAATTGAATTGAATTGACTCATACTCTGACTGTGTGCCAAATTCCATGCTTGTATCATAAAAGGCACAATCCCATCACCTATCTGCCGTACTACGAGAATTTTTCTGCATTGTGCCGGTTTTTTTTTTTTAGCGAGAAGATTACATTGACTGCGAAATGCCAGAGTCATGCAGTTGGAGCGACTATTCAAGGATTAAGACCGCCGACATAAAAGAATCCCAGTTGTTGAACGGGACAGCACGACCAGATGGCACATCACCTGATGCTGACTACACCTTTACTATTAAGTTTGAATAGATTATTCTACAAAAATAATTTGACATCACAATTTTATATTCCAAATGTCAATTGAAGCGTCCAGCGCCAATAGGATTTTTCTTGCAAGTCAATTGAATATTTTACCGTTTCCAGGAACAAAAAGATATGAAAATCGAATACAGATGTTGTCTTTTGGTATAATTTTGCACTTTTTTTATAAGTAAATTAATATATTTCACATATTGTCATTGGCTTAATTACAGTTGGTAATTTGTACCAAGCCTATCTTTACGTATTATTATTCAGTTCGTGACTAATTGTAAAATGATCTCATGCACTTTAAGAATATTCGTGATCGATTTAAAAACATAATCCATTGCACACGATCATGTCCACCCCGTGCAGATTCAGAAACACATGGTGAAATAATACGTACTGAATGATTATACCTTTAAAGGGAACTGCATAGTAATTATGTACATTATATGATCAATATTCTATCGATATCATATTATCTGCGCATATCATTATTTGCACGGCTATGACGTCTGTGAAACGGCTATAAAAAATATCCAAATTTCTAACATCGGTTGTTTACTTACCAGGTCACTATTTACAAGCAGAATGCAACATCTGGTGTTTTTTTTAGGTGAGAATGGTAACTTTTAAGTATAAGTTTGAAAAACTAAACATGGAAAAAAATGCCTCTCATAGATTGTTCCATCCAGACTGCTTTAGAAATTAAGGTGAGACTATTTCCAACCGGCCAGTTTTAAAGAGAATATACATCATTTGCTTTTGCTGTAATTTTCAGAAATGGATGGAATTGGGGGGTTGGAAATATAAAGCAAATATAGTTACACTGACTTTTTGGAGGTTTTGGGTTCGAAAATGCTATAAAAACCTAGAAAAACGATCATTTTCCTGTAGTCTGGTTCCCTGACTCCATATAAGAAGAAACAGAGCAGTTTACATACATTGGGGAATTGTAAGGTCAGGGAACCAGTCTAGCTGGCTCGTACCCGTTCATAGGTTTGTAATCGATTGCAAACAAGCGCAATGGTCAATTGGGGGCAGTATTTGAAAAAAAGCCAGTTATTTCCAACGCTGATCGGCCGATCAGCGTTGGAAATTGATACAAAAATACCACTTTTCTTGAAATAACAGTATACCAGGTGCCATAATTTTACAGTATGCTTTAGACTGTCATTTACCAACATCCTATTAAGGTATTTCGCAAAAACTTTGTAGTTTTATTTTTCGATGTTTGCAAATGTTGTATATTCCCTTTAAAGTCTGTGATATTTAGGACCCGATTTGTGTGTCAAGGTAAAATGACACTGAAATGGCTACTTAGGTAAAGTAAAAACACATACTCAACCAATTACGCAAAACGTTCCAGATGTTTTTGTTTTTTTCCCCTGAAGTGTATCACTGTCTTGATCAGGTTCGCAACAATTTCTGAGGTAAATACATCATTTTTGGGTCTAGACCCTCGCCGCGCGCTTCGTTTATTAATTGTGTAGCCCAAAATGACGTTATCGTGACGAAGATACGAGTATTCTGTCGGCGTATTTATCTCCAAAACGAAATCAGTTATATGAAAATTTGCCATAACTGGTGCTACCTTGAAATATAATGTAGGCCATACAAAAATTCTCACGCTTCACCAATAACACGCGATGTCGTCATGTTACAAACACATGTCACCGTCGCTATAGGCTTTTCAATGGAAATACTGTTTTCAATGACAAACTAACAATGAAAAGACCTTTGTGCGCAAAATTCACACGAGGTCTAGTATAGATAACATTTGCAATTAACAGACGACTGAGACAAGTATATGGACCAGATGGAAATTCATCAGTGAACGATATTTTGTAATGGTAACACACAGCAGGAGAATAATGAAAATAAAGTACACGTACGGCAAGCCGGTATTGCTTCCAGAAATTGATAGGGCCTACAATAATTCATACCAATATGGCAATTTGTACATCATGGGGAAAAAATCATTGACTATAACCTATGTGGGCACGTGTGGTCTAGCAGGAGAGCACAGGATTCATGATCGTGAGAATGTGGGTTCGATCCCCGCCATGGCCATGCGTGGTGTTGTGCCCTTGAGTAAGGTACTTCACCTCAATTACTCCTCTCAACCCAGGTGTTAAGGTGCCGGCATTAATTATGCTGGGAAGGCAACAGAATCGCTGTGGAGGAGGTGTGGCGGTAGCATTTCATGGACTCGAGTCTGGCCTAATCGCTTCGAAAGAGAGATGGGCACTCCGTTCCTGTGAACACAGGCTCGCCCTTTTACCTTTTTAATAACCTATGTTTTTTTCTCCGTTCAGAGATTATTACCTAATCGATTACATGGCATGCACGGCTTTCTCTCTAAATGTAAAAAAAGCCCAAAACAATATGAGGGACAATTCTTTTCCAGTGGTTTTCACTCCGACTTTTAGAACAAAGTTTGCATTTTTTTTTGCAATCACATAAAATCCACTCCCAAAGAGTAAATTAATTTCAACTCTTTTTCAGCCTTTTGGGGGACATCTTCGAGTGTTTGTTCACTCTTTTACATTTTAGAGTTTACCCTAATAGGCATATTACTATCACCAGAGCTGGCTTGAGCAAATATAATTTTTTTCTTTTTGAAAAACAAAATTCTTTCGTGATACTATTTTGTCTCGACACGCGTACGTTTCGGCTGCATCAGAAATAGCAACATGACGTGTTTCAGTCAAAGAGGGATTTTTTGTTCACAAGAACTTAAGGGGAATTTTCTCCAATTTAAGAGTGAAACGCAAGATTACGAAGGGACAGGTATTCTTATTTCCAAAAGAGTGACATCTCACCCTGTTTGATCGGAAATCCATTCAATCGAATTGATTTTTCACTCGGGATTCATCTCAGTTTACGGTAGCGGTATTTTCCTTGCCTTCCACCGCTGTGACCCGGGTTCGATTCCTGCCTGGGCCAATATGCATGTGGATCGGGTTTTCAGTCTCTGCCTGATTGCCGTGGGTTTTCCTCCGAATTTTCTCCTGAGACGTTCCTCCCAGAAGGATGTAATTTATTCACAAAGTCTTTATACTGGAGGAGACCAGTGGATTCCACTGACAGAATGAGCTAGCTACCCAGTTGAAATGAAATATAATAAATAAAACAAGTAAAATATACTCGACTTTCGAAAAACATTATTTTTCCCCAACGTATTTCACTATAATTAGTGTGAATTTTACTTATATAAATTGTCATGTCCCTATACAGTTTCACCCTTTGGAGTAAAAGTAAAGAGAGTGATTTGAGACTTGAACAACAACAAAAACTCGGCCTACAAAATGTGAGAAAATGGACAAAATAAACGAAACCGAATTTTTTTTTTTTACCTTTTCTGGAGACGCATCGAAAGGGTTGGTCATCGGTGGCGGTTCTGGCGAGCTCGACATCTTCACAGGCGGACTTTCTCGACAATCACTCGAAAATCCTGGTGATCATTCTACAGTGACGAGGAAATATTAATATGATGGCTTAACCAGATGTGTGCAAAGGTGATGATGGGAATTATTTTGCAGTGCGTGTATGTATGCTGGCGAAAATATCAACCGATGGCAATTGAACAATCTGATGAGAAAGCCACAGACGGCGAAACTGGCCAGACGAAATTCACTCGCAGAAGTCTTAACATACATTTAAATAGTTCATTTCGTATTTAGAATATTCCTGCACATTATAAAGGCACGAACGGTTGAACAGCTAGAGGGCTCGATATGTCGATGTTGCAGCTGTAAAATGTAAAGTCCGTGCATTGCGAATTCGAACAGCTTCTCGTGGGCTTGACGACTATTAATAAGCGGACTCGATACCGAGCAGTGACATCTGTTCACGATTGGCTCAAAATAGCATTCAACCCTGGCAACCGTAAGGGGCGCTAGGGGGAAGAACCTAGTGCTGCATGGCTCCCGAACTGCATCACGGGGCTACTCAACGGGACCTCAGTGAACCTGCTGAACCAGTCCAGCTGGCTTGATCGATTGGTTGTTCAAATAACAGAAACAGTACGTAGGATCATTTCATTTTCGGATGGATTTCTTTTACTGTCACCCATTATTTGTTAATTTAAAAGGGTTATAAACGGCTCCTGCCAGGTTGAGGCACGTCTGAAACCATTCTTATTCCTCCATGGTCAGGCTAGCTTTAAGTTGAATGTGAAACATCGCCCAACAATGAGGGCGCACTCATTTTTCTTGGACGCGGCACGACATGTACGTACAGTGAGCGATCACTCAAGACGGTTGCGTCAATTCAGATGCGATTTTTCACCCTTACAATCACCTTAGCCTGGCTAAAAGTAACAGAAATGGTAATTTTACTTTCATTTGGACAGCTTTGATACAAATCGACTCAAAATGGTGATCCCTATATGCGTGCAGTGCAACCGCGCGGCCGCGTGTGCGCGAACTTCACTTTATTTTTATTACAAAAAAAATATAAAAAATTGAGGGGGGGGGGGGCGCATGCTAAAACCTCTGAATTGTGCCTGAAACTATAATGTAATTATTTACAAGCGAACAAAGAAATTAACCAACAAACCAAACTAAAACAAAATTAGACGCAAGTAAATTTAAATGTTTATACCAAACTTGTATCGATATTGCAAGAATTTATAGGCGAACGTTACAGAGCAATGATACTTTTTTTGTTGTTTAATTGTGTAATTATCATAGTTTAGACTGTAGAAATTATACCTTATTCTGCATGTCCTTTGTCAAGTTATGCTTAGATGAAAATAATTATATTCAGAGCTGAGGTAATGGGCGGGGTTATCAAAAATATTTTATGATAACAACAATCACTTTGTGTAAACTTGACCTTTCACCTCTGACTTACCGTACCGACTCACATCTAATTGAAGTTATTATTCCGCTAATGTTTATTTCGTTAAAAATGTTTTAATGTTACATTTAGGAGTAAACTGCACTATTATAAATCTACTGTCATTTAAGGGATTATTAAAGTGATTAAATTATGTAATTTACATACAGCAGATTTTGCAATAACAGCATTTACAAGAGAAATTAGAGAGCTACTTTTTGTACTGTGCGTATGAATAAAAATGGTAAACTGACGTTACGCCATTTTGTGTCTTCCGTATTTTCAAATTGGTGAAGTCCGTCGCGTAAAAAAGCCTCAAACAATCTAGCTATATTTACTCTATTTATTGGGGATTTGGACTCGTCAAACCCTCCTAAAATAAGGTAAGAATCTTCATATATCATATAGTTTGTTTAAATCTGTATTTTTTTGACAATTTTGTATGCTTTTGAGAGGTATTTGCGATGCTCGTTTGAATCGATCGTGACGCCTGACGGGAGTCACCAACGCACAAGAGAATGGCGTTTGCATAAATTAACCGCCTAAAATTAAAATTTGGAAACGTTGTGTTTGTGTATCTGATTTTCCTTGTGAAAAGGCCCTAGTGTATTTGCGGATTTCTACTTCTTCAGTGCTTGTTTTTATTTTTGTTAAGCATGTGTGTATTATAAATATTGCGGTTAAATTTTGGCCTGTTTTGACGCTTTTGACAAAATGTTTGAGCATGTTGTTGATTAGACCCGTGAACGTGGCTTGTAAACTACGCCACGCTGTTGTGTATTTTCGAACCTGGCGAACGTGTCCCTCTGACTCCCTCCGTTACACACACTGGACGTTATTTTGCCCATGTATTTTGTAATAAGTACTCACATATGAAGCTGTCTTGAATTCTATTTGTACATCAAAACTTGCATTTGACGAAAATTGAGGAAAATTCTGGCCCCGGTTCATGAAGTCCGTCCGCTACTGCTAGCTGCCATTTTCTCCCAACTGACACATATGCGCATAGCGTTTTATTTTCGTATGATTCGACGGCTGTTTACTGTCGCAGCTAAAACAGACATCGTTTTAGACAAGTTTCAAGTCCTTTCCTCTCTCACTGCACCGCACGCGGTCGCACGTGCGCCAGCGTGTGTGTGCGCACACGTACTGTACACGAGATGAGCCGAGCAGCCAATCGTCTGCATTTTTTTCTTTTTCGGGGTTGCGACATGAAACAGCCGTCAATCTGTCCAAGCGACTCGGATCGGACGCGTCCGGGGTTATTTGTCATGGTCAGGTTAAAATCTAATTTCTACACGTTCGTATGGGTCTTTACTGATGAGCAAATTTCGTCGAAATTACACAGCCTAAACAATCGGACGGGCAAATTTAGATTTCTAGGTGAGTACTCAACACCCATACGGAATTATGTATGTCGGATCGATTTCGCCAGGTTCGAAATGACACAAGAACGTGGCGTTGTATACAACGTCACGTTCACGGGTCTAGTTGTTGATTAGTCCGAGTAACTAGCATGACTAGGACTTAGCCCAGGTTGGAAGAAGTCTTCATTGCATTACGACTGACGTCCAGGATGACAATTCTCTAGATAAGACCACCAAAAATTTTGGGAAAATTTGGCTAACCGATCACCACTTACCTGCCATGCCTGCCGCCAAACATCCAAATTTTCACCTCGCCTTGTGATTTCAACCAAGAGGAATCCAGGAAACAGTGGACATGCGAAACAAATTTGTAAAAATGTGTTTTTAGAGCAAATTTTGCAGCGGTACGTTATACGCATGACATCGATAACCATGACGTCGCATGAGACGTCGCATGAGCCGGCCAATGATAGTGCAATACGTCATTATGAATATTTATTTTCTCATGAATATTTAGTTTATTTCAATGGATATTTCAAATACGTCCAAAGATTGATCATTGCAACAGTGATCGTGCGCGGCCTAGCAGTTAAGAGTCTCGTGTATCAAGCAAGCGTCCGAGGTTCGAATCTCGATGAAGTGAGTGACTGATTGATAAATAGAAATTAAGGAAAGGAGAGGGTGAGAGTAGAGGAGGGAAAGTGGAGGGAATAACCATAAAAGATGTAACTTTTGGCGCTAGAAAATTAATTGAAAAAAGTGGTGATCGGGTAGCCGAATTTTTCCAAAATTTTGACCAGAGTTTTGTTATGTTTTACCTCGTTAAAGAAGCTTATTTCACACTAGACCCGTGAACGTGGCGTTGTATACAAATTACAACGCCACGCTGTTGTGTATTTTTGAACCTAGCGAAATCGATCCGCCATACATAATTCCGTATGCATGTTGAGTACTCACCTAGAAATCTAAATTTGCCCGTCCGATCGTTCAGGCTGTGTAATTTCGACGAAATTTGCCATCAATAAAGACCCATACGAACGTGTAGAAATTAGATTTTAACCCGACAAGTGACCCTGACAAATGACCCTGGACGAGTCGCTTGGACAGATTGACGGCTGTTTCATGTCGCAACCCCGAAAAAAAACCCCCGCACCCGATTGGCTGCTTGGCTCATCTTGTGTACGCGTGTGTACGCGTGCGCACACGCACGTGGGCGCACGTGCGCCCGCGTGCGGTGAGAGAGGAAAGGACTTGACAGTAAACAGCCGTCGAATCATACGAAACAGGACGGTACAATAAAACGCAATGCGCATGCATCAGCTGGGAGAAAATGGCAGCTAGCAGGACTTCATTAACCGGGGCCAGAATTTTCCTCAAATTTTGTCAAATGCAAGTTTTGACGTACAAACAGATTTCAAGACAGCTTCATATGTGAGTACTTATTACATTGGCAAAATAACGTCCAGTGTGTGTAACGGAGGGAGTCAGAGGGACAATTTCGCCAGGTTCGAAAATACACAACAGCGTGGCGTAGTTTACAAGCCACGTTCACGGGTCTAATTTCACACCTACATAAGCCTGTTGGTTCTTGGTTCTTGGTTCTTTGTTGGTTCTTCTCCTAAATACTCCACGTGGGAGTTTATACAGGAGGCCAGAAACACCGGGGCAAACCCCTTCTCTTAGCGATAAGTGTTTACTGGGTTCTTTTACGTGCATTTATACAACACACGGGACCTACGGCTTAACGTCCCATTCGAAGGACGAAGCAATAATGGTTAAGTGCCTTGCTTAAGAGCACAAGTGTCCGCCGTCGGGCTCGAACCCACGTCACTGTTGCCTCTGAAACACCAGAACGTGAGTCCGGTGTTCTTAACCGCTAGGCCATCACACTCACTGTTCGATATCCATTTATTTTTAAATCGGCATATCGTGAAAAAAATATCGGATATCGCGATATTATCGTGATGACGTCATTTTTCCATTCATGGAACAATGGAATAAAAAAAAAAACACACACAAAAACACACACGATATATATACAAAATATGAGATCGATACGATTTCCGATATGAAAATCAATACCGAACAGGCTTACACCTACATACTCTACATGCTCTATGTGTCCTTATCTATTGGGCTGGGGGGTTCAGGAATTCCATATGTGATGCTGACCGACGTTAATCAGGAAAATAAACTCTAAAGCAACGTTAAACTTGTACGTGTTTGTAGACTCTTTTCATCAGTTTCTCATCAACGTACCGCGTCGTACAAAAGCGCACACGCTAGCGCCCTCCTTGGTTGGTTTTGGTGGGAACGTGCAGTGACGTCACTCCAAATTAGGCAAAATGTGTTTTTAGAGCACATTTTGGATGCACACGTCGTGCTGCTCGTGCAGAACTACATGTAAGTTGAAGCAGCCGGTCAAAACTGACTGAAGTGGCTGAAAGACAGCGGTACGTAATACGCATGACGTTGCATGAGCCGGCTAATGATAGTGCAATACGTCATTATGAATATTTATTTTCTCATGAATATTTAGTTTATTTCAATGGATACTGCAAATACGTCCAAAGATTGATTATTGCAACAGTGATCGTGCGCAGCCTAGCGGTTAAAAGTCTCGTGTATCAAGCAAGAGTCCGGGGTTTGGATCCCGATGAAGTAAGTGACTGATTAATAAATAGGAATAAAGAAAAGGAGAGGGTGAGAGTAGAGGAGGGAAAGTGGAGGGAATAACCATAAAGGATGCAATTTTTGGCACTTGAAAATTAATTGAAAAAAAAGTGGTGGCCCAGTACGGAAATTTTTCCGAAAATACAAATGGTGGTGGTTAGGTTCACATACCTTGGGGAAGAAAAGAGAAATTTCACCTTCAATTCGGAAACCGAGACTCGTCGAGCTGTCACCGCTATCTTGAATGTTGTTGTGCGATTCAAATTCATGAGGTCAAAAAGATGACGTACGACGCGCCAGCCAAGCGCACGCCCGCATTCACAGTTGGGCATATCGTGTGTGCATGCGTACACTGGTGACTGTTTCACGAACGGCGCAGCCTGCACACATTGCATAGCCTCGTATGTACCAAAAAAATGTGTCATGATAAATGTTAACCCTTACTCTCTGAGGGTAGTTTACTGCATGTCAGTTGGTTATGCCAATGCCCTCCAGCTGCAGTTATTTGGCAGATAACAAGTCTTAGCAGTGAAGGCTCCAATTGGCAGGAGTTGGAGGCCCTGGAGGGTGCCTGATACTGACCAGCTGGGGGCACTCACTTTGTTATCAGAGGACTCTCATTGTTCTCTGTGGCATGTATTGGAGTGCCTGTCCAGTTACCCTTGAAATGACATGGCAGATATTGGAGGGCCATGCAAAAAACATAGGAGATTTTCTTGAGGCACATATTGGCATGCGTTGGAGGGTCAAGTAGGGTAAGGGTTAATGAAGGACAATATCTTTTTTGCAGGATGGGTATTGATGGCATGGGGCCCGGCTGGCCGCTCAAGCCCAGCTCCGGCATGAACTGGAAGGAACTGGGAGAGAACGACGACCTGGCCACTAGCCTGGTCCTGGACCCGTACCTCAACTTCACCACACACAAGATGAACACAAGGTAACAAATAGTGTCAGTCATGGAGGCTGTGCCTGAATGACTTGGCTACGACCAACAATTACACACATGTCTATGGGAAGTGGCTACAGCCTCTTCCATAGGCTTGTGTGTAACTCCAAGCTGTAGCCACTTAAATTCAGAAGCGGCCAGACATAATTCGGGACTAGATTTCATGGAGCCGCTAAGCGGAAAATAATGCTTAGCGAATTTTTGTGCTTAGCGAATGTCTGCCGGGAACCAGTCACAAGCAGTGTACATCAAATAGCTACTTGGCTGGTAACCTGATTTCTGCTGAGCGATTAGATTCTGTGCTCGGCACACCTCCATGCTTGGCATAGATCTCCTTGAAAGTGGCCGGAGCTATACTACATTAACCCTAACCGAACTCAACCCATCAAAGTTCAACAGCAGGTTTTGTTTAAATCTGTTGGGAAACATGTAGGTGCAGTACCCCTAAACTGATGGTCTTTTACACTGGGGTTGGAATTTGCCAGAATGGGTATGGTTTCTAGTAAATTATGCTGGGGAGTAAGAGTTAACCCTAACCTTCCTCACTCCTGCGAATTCCAACACCATATTGTACACTCTACTCCAAGACTGTTGGACTCTGATTATGGCGGTATACCTAACCCCATGTAAAGCATAATCTGTTTACTAGTGCAGTACTCACTCCAACAGATTCCAACAAAACCTGCAGTCGGATGTTGAAGGGTTGGGGGTAGTTGGGGTTAAATTTCAAACTTGAGTTTCAATGCATTTGATTAACCCTAACCTCCTCAACTCCATCAAAATCCATCCCTCCCATTTTGGTGGATTTTAGGGGACTTAGTTCTCCGGGCCTGGTTTGACTAAATATTGATGGAGTGTGATGGACTTGGGCCTGGAGGCCTAAAGCAGAGCATGCATTAGAAGCAGTGTGATTGATAGATTTTGATTGACTTGGTCCAGTACTTACTAAACGACAGTAGGGAGTTAGGGTTAAGGTAGCTTCATGTACGCTTCTCATATTTAGCTGTGTTACGCCTGAACTATAGTGTCCCAACTACAGTTAAGATCGTCCCAACTAGACAGTTAGGAATTCACTCCATCTATTGTTTGGACTGTCCAAACAATAGTTGGGACTTGCATGTATAGTTGGGACAGTTGCCATAGTTGGAGCGTAACAGCTGTCCGTGATATGTGTGAGCATTGTTTATAATATGGCAACTGCTAATTCACACTCATGTTTTACCAAGTTTAGTAATTTGTGGAGCAATTCAATCAACTCTGGGCAGTTGATTTTCTGGTTTCGGACAAGGATTTTATGGAACGATTAGACCAGTCGTTCTATTTTTATTTGCTTTTCCACCAGAAAATGAAAATGTTATTTCTAAACATTTTAAAGTAACAAAGGTTTGGAGTATCTTCTTTTTTTGGAGGCACATTGTACATGGTGCTTTGAACTTGTAACATTCACAGAATATCCTAAAAGGTATCACGCATTTCCAAAACCGACATCTTACAAAGTCTTTTTATAAAAAATGTTTTACCTAGGTTTCGGCCCGCTGACGCAAGGAAGGAGTTCCTCAAGGAGCTCATTCTGCGCTTCAAGAAATCGCAGAATTACGAGAGGGCCTACAAGGGCCTGGTGTCCGGCGACTGGGCCCGCGTCTTCTTCCTGAACAAGTCCAAGCACCAAGTGACCATATTCAAGCAACACGTGAGTTGTGTCAGTAGTTTTAGGCTTTTTCCGAGTAATTTGGTTCCGGCAGGCAATAATACGAGTCTATAAGAAGTGGCAGCAGGCGCTTTCATACAGGGCGAGTCAAAAAAAAGAGGAACCAAAACCCCAAAAATTATATTTCATGTTTAAAAATAATATGTAGCACCAAACATAATTATGACTGGAAAGCCAATTTCATAAGCTACTTTTAGATGACAAAATTACTGAAATTGGTCAATCCGTTCAAAGAATATCACCATTTAAACACAATGGCCCTAAAACCTGTCTCGTCCAAAAAAAATGCGATTTCAAGAATCGTCGTCACAATTGTCTTTAAACATCACCAGCGATAAAATCTCAGTTTAAACGTTTAAATATTCAACAAAGTCATTTTGAAGGCCCGTCTTTTAAAAAAAGTAGATTTTGTAAATTACAATGTATATTGTTTGCCTAAAACCGGGGTTGTTAATAAAGATATTGTGCACTACAGGTGGTGACAGTTGTTGAAACAAGTATTCTGTGTCATTTTCTTTTTGTTGTTCCAAACAGTCAAAACACACAATAGATTGCTTTTTTGGACGAGAAAGGTTTTAGGGTCGTTGCGTTTAATTGGTGATATTCTTTGAACGGATTGACCAATTTCAGTATTTTTTCCATCTAAAAGTAGCTTATGAAATTGGCTTTCCAGTCATTATTATTTTTGGTGCTACATATTTTTTTAAATATGAAATAAATTTTTTGGGGGTTTGGGTTCCACTTTTTTTTTACTCACCCGGTAGATGCACAGGTCTTGGCAAGCAAAAGTCAAGTAATTCTGATGCACATGTCGTCACCGACACCACGAAGTAACACTCTACCGTGTTAAACCATATTTTTTTTCAATTTTCAGTTTTTGGGATTTTTAAACATTATTCATCAAGGCCTACCATTTCACGAAGTTTCAAAGCTTCAAGAGCTTTACTTTAATAATTACGCTAAGTATCCATGGCAACTTTTGCGCAAAAGTGACAATTTTCGTTTTCACGAAGTAACACTCAAGTTCCATTTACCATTGCAATGCATGGCGCGCACTCTGCTCATAAGTGAGCAAAAATGTTTTCACGAAGTAACACTCTTCTTGTAATAAGTTGTATGAGCGCGCGCGCGCTGACCTGAAGTTGCACTTTCCTCGTGTTGAATACATTGAAGAGTGTTACTTCGTGAAAACAAAGATTTACAGTTTCGCAGCCTTTTCGGTTTCACGAACTAACACTCATCTTTTGTCTCTTATTTCTTGTTTATTTAATACACAAACGGGTGAAAAACAGCAGATTTAATAAATTCAATTCATCAAGTGTCCACGACGAGAAACCCAACTGAAAATACTCTGTCGTTTTGACGCAAATTGTTGTTTTAGAAGGCGTTCAACTTTAGTAGCCGTTTTCTCCGATTGCTAGTTTTTACTGGTATGTAGATGGGTGTTACTTCGTGGTGTCGGTGACGATGTGTACATCTGTCTGTCTCTTTATTAGTCTTCAGTCAGTCAGATCTTAGTTATGATTTTGTGGTGGGGTAGGGTCCGGGTTGCTTTTCGAATGTATTTGTTAATCACAAAATGTGAAAGCTTATGATATAGCAAAAAAAAGGTTACATCCAAAAATGCCAACGGATAGACCCCTTAACCCTCCTCAGTCCTCCAAAATCCTCCTGACTGTTTTGGAGGATTTTGGAGGATTGAGGCTCAATTAAAATTTTTAAATGGTGGCAGTTAGAGGATTTTGGAGGATTGAGGATGGTTTCTAGCCAAAAAGGCCTGGGGGTTGGAATTAAGTTTTCATGATTTTTTTTCATGGAAGATGCATGTAGTTTTCTTCTGTCATTTCAATTTGTTCATTGTTGGGGGAAAAAACACTGTTATTTGATTTATTTGTTGGTCCATTCCAATTGATGACATCACATCATTCCCTTCCTGCCAATATTTGTTTCCTGTTTCATCCCCGTAATTGCCTTTGGCTCATTTCATGTTGGATGATGTTGCCAAGATTGTATAACCATGAGGATATTACATCAGGATGCTTTATACGTCAAATGGAAAATTGAGGGAAAAGATAACTCAACGTTTTTTTCATAAACCCAAGTTGTAATCTGGCTGCTCAGTGTAGTGACGTTTATGAAATCATAACCATTCATGTTATCCATGCCACTCTATGACATTCATGTACGTACAACATCAAAACCCAGTTTCATTTTTAGGTCATTGATCTCATGTTCTCTATCTCCTAGCAGGAAGTAATCATGTTACGCACGAGCCATTCAAAACCAAATGTTATTTAGTCTACAATAAAAACATTCCCCCCCCTTCCTATTTGAAGTCCGTCACATGTTGGTTGAAAGCAAAATATTCCCAAGGCAAAAAAGAATTAAAGAAAAAGAAAAACTGGGAATTCCCCACAATATCCCAAAAGGAAAGTGATGTATGTATTTTGGTATACTAATGGCCAGTGATCCACATTGTTCATCTGATTACAATCCTGTAAATGATTATGGTAATGCACGTGTAATACGCTTTTGAAATAACAGACAGGAAGTACCAAAAGTTGCAACAGACTTACGCACATCATCTAGGTTACATTCATCATTGGTTTTATGTTGAGTTTCCGTGCACATCCTGGTGTGGGCATACAGAGTTTGTTGAAAATAGACGGTGCATTCATGGGACTTTTTGTGTCCATAGCAGAATAGTTACAAAAATAGCTGGATCTAAGACTTCAACCATTTTTTAATTGACGCTCAAGCCGGGTAGAAGTGGTTGTGACTACTTTAGACTGTTTCTGAGGTTTGTTTGGTCCGTCAGTCAATCCTGACTGTGTAGTAGTTTTACCTGCAACACTGTGAAACGACTGAGTGGTATATTCATTGTAGAACTAATTGGGACTTTATCCAGCCGCCAGTGAAGTAACACACTGAGTATACAGTGTTTAAACGTCGGTGAAGGGCAAAACCTAATTTGATCTCAAGTGAAGAATTATATATACTGGAATCTGTCTGCCTGTTGTATCAAAATAGTGCGAATCGGGATTGTTTTCATCCTTTTTTTCAGCAGGGGCAAGGTAAGGGAATATGATTGCCTGTCAAATAATAAGTCTTTCAAAGCTCCTAGCACATACCTATGAAAGTGTGATATTAAACATTAACCCTTACCAGCCCAACCCTTCAAAATCTAACTGCATGTTTTGTTGGAATCTGTTGGAGTGAGTACTGCACTAGTAAACTGATTATGCTTTACATGGGGTGAGGCACACCAACATAATCAGTGTCCAACAGTTTGGGTGTTAACATGGTTAAGTGTACCTTAACCCTAACCCCCCACGGTATTTTGGCTAGAAACCCTGCCAAACGCAGCAGCATGCAACACTTGTCTAAGTGTCAAGCCTGCCCAGTGCAGCAACATCCATCAGGTCAATAGTCTCAAGGCCAGACTGCCTCAGAGTCTGTGGTCACCAAATGCAGCAGGATACAACTGTGGCATTGTTCAATGGGACTAGCTCTCATTGTCTCAGAACTGGCCGTTTATGCACTGGTGTTGATAGCTGAATGCATCAAAGTGCACCAGACTTTTCCACCTGATGCACTGTGCTGCGTCTGGCAGGGTTAGGGATATGGTGTAGGATTTTGCAAGAGTAAGGAAGGTTCCTAGTAAATCACTCAAAGGGGTTAGGATTAACCCTTACTCCCTAGCATGATTTACTAGGAACCATACCCATCCTGACAAATTCCAACATATGGGAAACTGCACACACGTTTTTCTGACTTTGATTCTGGAGGTGTGCCAACCCAATGTAAAAGACGGTCAGTTTAGGGGTACTAGGAGGGGTACTGTACCCATCCTGACAGATTCCAACAAAACATGCCAATGGAGTTTGATGGGTTGAGTTCTGTTAGAATTAATGTTTGAACCAGTCCATTCTCAATGGACAATATGTGCTTAAGCTGAAGTAAACTTTCATTGACTTTTTAAAAAATATTTTTTTTTTTTTTACAGGTGTTCCGTTATCTAGCAATGTTTGACAAGACGTCCGGGTTTGAGGTGAAGTCCTGCTTCCGTTACTCCTTGGAAGGGGCCGGAGGGAAGATTGTGGCCACTCAGGATTGGTGAGTTGCTATGAAGTGTTTGCAAGGCCGGAACCCAAAGCCATGGGGCTAATAGATCGATCCATTAAGCACCAGCCCATGGTGTTTTGACCAATCACAGCCGTGATTAACCCTCCTATGCGCACAGTCGTGTTTTTCTTGACTCTCAAGGACAGTCCTTTGTGTTTTCCTTTGTCCCTGTGATTCAACACTCCCCCATAGATTAAGCACACATACTTACTACAGAGGACTGTTTTCAACTCCTGAGGACTGAAAGGATATGTTGTTCTCCCTTTGTGTGTCAGTCCTAAGGGGTATGTAGAACACGCACACACATACATTCTTTGCCAAGTTGTCCTTGCAGTCCAAATTAATCAAGTCAAGTCAAGAGGTCCCAGCCTACATAAAGCAGGAATGACTGGCTGTGACTGTTTAGGTAACTTGATACAGCTATGCTTTGACTGTACATGTAGGCGATTGATAAGCCAGCTGTGCCTACCACTTGCCTGTTTTTGTCTGTTGACTGAATTTGACTAGTCACAGTGCTTGCTTGAAATGTGACCCGACTGTTGTTGACTAGCCTGTTTAAAAAAGAAAAAAATTGATAACAGAACATTATTGTCTTTATCTTTAGGAGTAAGAATGACACCATCCCCAACCTGGTCGGTTGCATCGCAGAGCTGACAGAGTGCGAGGAGAACTCCCTCAAGACGGGCGTCAACGATTTCAGCGTCATGTTCTCTACAAGAAAGAACTGCGCCCAGTTGTGGCTGGGCCCGGCGGCTTTCATCAATCATGGTAAAAAAAAACCCAAAACCAGCTGTTCACATTTCCACTCCAGCCTAATCCTCATGGATCTTTCAAAATCCACCAAATGGTTTTATGAGGATTTTGCAGGATTAACCCAAATTCCCTAGGCATTTTTACTAGGATGTAACCTCAATCCTGCAAAATCCTCCAACTGCCTCCATGTAAAATTAGCATACAGCCTCAACCCTCCAAAATCGTCTGATATTTCTTGAATGTGGTGCTTGGAGGGGTGACCACTGCCTCAATCCTGCAAAATCCTCCAGCAATCACTGTCAATGTGTTGAGGCAGAGCCAGTGACATCCTGGAGCAGTGCGGAGGATTTCAAGTATAGGCCTAAATTTATGCATGGCTGGGCATAAACAAGACAAGGTCTGGCCCAAGACCTTGACACAGTGCATCCTCCGAAATCAGCAGCACACTTGTGCCATGAAGCCTCAATTCTGTAAAATCCTCCATTTTGCAAAGAGAATTTTGGAGGATTTTGGAAGGTTAGGGTTAATCATGCTGTGAAAAAAAGAAAACACATGTCACTCAACATAATTTTGAGGGTTTTAAAGTTTGTGACTCTTCCTAACTTCTTCAGATCTGTCAGAATCTTTGCTTGACATCTAATTTAATGTTTTTTCATCCTTTCCTTTGCTTTCTGCAGATTGCCGACCTAACTGTAAGGTGAGATTTTCTGTTGTGTTTCTTTCTTTATTGACCATCAAATGAACTGAAAAACTGACTATTTATCCAGAAGTGACTTTTTGACCGTACATTCAATAATCAATGAGAGAATAAGAACGAATGCAGAAAATTTCCTTCGTTTTTCGTAATGGTGGGATTTAAATTTGGATTTTTAAAAATTTGGTTTGAATTCCACTATTTGTTTTCGATTTTGGAAATCGGATATTCGTACCAACCTGAGAAATATTCAGCCTTCCATTTTTTGTGACACAGGCTTAAAAAACCCAAATGGAACAACCCCCAATATGCTCCATGGTCTCGGATTGTAACTGCATTCACTTGCTAGAGGTCCTATTGGTATATGAATAGCCTGCCCATTTGACTTACCAGAGAGTTCCAATCCATTTTATTCTTCAACATTACAGCTCTGGAGTGTTTCTGTAAAGGCCCAGTGGTAATTGAATTCTGCAAGCTATACCCAGTCATTGGGAGGGCATTGCATGTGGCACCTCACTCGTCACGTTTTGTTGGCATGACTGAGTTTGACGAGAACTGGTGAAATCAGATAACCGTTACTCGGTTTGAGCAAATTTAAGATAAACAGATCTTGAAATCCGCAATTTCTCCCTCCAATATTTTTTGGGCACTTATAGATTGTATTATTAGAGTCATTGTAAGTTTTTTCCTTATACTCTGTGCAGTTTGTGTCTACGGGTCGCGATACGGCTTGCGTCAAAGTACTACGGGATATCGAGCCCGGAGAGGAAATCACCTGTTTCTATGGCGATGGATTCTTCGGCGAGGGCAACTGCTACTGCGAATGTGAAACTTGTGAACGGTACGTCAAAAAAATAACCCATCTGGTCGTAACGTTGCCTTTATTTTGTTTTACAGTAATCTATCATTTTTTTGGACCTGAATATGGAGGAAACTGCTACATTGATAGATCATTGGACAAAATTTTTTTAATGATATTTTTTTACTTTTCCTGATTATCTCCAAGGAATTGAATTGTTCCCATAAATTGCCACCGGTAAGATGTTGAAATCGGTTTCTCAGTTTTTAAGTGAATTTTAGAAATAAATCTGTGATATCTAAAAACAAAATTGCTTTGAAGTTTGTTGTCTCTGAATTCAGGCATGCAACTTTTCCTCCGAATGCCATTACAAATTGAAAAACGCTGTACAAAGTCTTGTGTGGTTTGGAGTTTCCTAGTTTTTTCTAAACTCCAAGTTGCATGCCTGTGAACAGAAGCATTGAATTGCCGACCAACTGATGCTTAGACTGTCATGGTAAAACTGATCATCTCTCAACCTGCCAACCTTACTTCGTGAAATTGACCCTACTGCCAAGTGAAGTGCAATGCTTTTTGTCATAGGTGGTTTTAAAAAAACCTGCATTCTATCATTGGCTTTAGGAGACAGACGGGTGCCTTCACCCCCAAAGACACCCCGGTCAAGAGCGACGAGAACAAGTACAGCCTGAGGGACACGGACCGACGGCTGCGCTGGCAGAAAGCCAAGAATGAGGAGGAGGGCGGGGCCAGCCAGGAGGAAGGCGGATTAACCAAGAACGCAGTGCCCTCTAGGCTGCTGCGGAGAAGTGGTATGTTGGGGCTTTGTGTGAAACACTTGGCTACGGCTGACAATAACAGGAATCTATGAGAAGTGGCCGCAGCCGCTAGCTAGTGGCTTCCATGAGCGCATGTGTTATTTCCGGCATGTGCTGATTCGGACACGGCCTTGCAGTCAATCAATGTCAATTTCTTAAAAAGAAATTTGAAAACCTAATTTGATTTACATCACCACGACGTAAAAAATCCCATCTTATGAATGGTTAATGCGGTACCCGCTGCTATGTGCATCAGATTCGAACCAGCCAACTGATCCCGTTAGCTCGGTGGTCGGGTGGTAAGACATCTGCACTAGAAAGCAGGAGGTCGTGGGTTCGAGTCCCACCCGAGTGATTTTTGCCAACTTTCACTCGGGAGGTAACACACTGAGTATACAGTGTATATACGTCGGTGAAGGGCAAAACCTAATTTGATTCTTAAAAAGACTTTCTTAAAAAGGTCGGGCTCACTAGCTTCATTCAAGTCATGTAATTTCTGTATTTTGTTGATGAAAAACATATTTGCTATTTTGTCTTTAGTTGTTAGTGAGGTATGCAAAGAAAACTTCTGCATTGTACAATTTTGTACGGTCTGTTGTAATGTGACATTTGATATCATAAGGACCCAATGGCCGTTATTGCATATTTTTTAGTGCAGAGTGTCATGATATTTTAAAGGCAGGTTCACATTGAGCGTCCCTGTATGGGTAGTGATGGACTCAATCCTTCCCAAGTCCTGACAAGCTAATCACAGGTAATCCAGTCTCTGGTGCTAAAGAGTTTGAATCAAGTGTGTACCTTGACCTGTGGTTGACTTATGAATGGACTTGTGATGGACGTAACATCAACTCTCTTAATGGTACCAAACTGCGCACGTCTTCATTTCACATATGATATTTGTTTCAATTAAACCAAAATCTTTGGTTTCAGATTCAGATTGCAGTGGAAGCTCGGACGGCAATAGTTGTCCCTGGAGTCGTTCTCGTTCTTCCTCCCAGCCCCTCTCCCCATCCCTCCAGGCCAACCAGACCCTCGTGGACCTCATCGCTGAGAGAAAGTGTTTGTCAAAGTTCGATGCTCAGCTCCTGGTGGCAGAAGGCTACAAACTCAGGGAAGCCAAGGTGGTCTTGACACCTCATAAGATCAAGGAAGACGGGACACTGACTGTCGAGGAAGGAGGTGTGAGGTACGCCTCCAGGCTTCGCAGGGGGGAGGAGCGGAGGAAATCGGGAGGCCGCGAGAGGAGGATGTCGCTGAACGAGGAGCCCGTTCCATCACCTAGGGTTGAGGAGGCTCACCTAAACGGGGGTCTTCTAGACACTGAGGCACCCGAGTGCGTAACTGCAACGAGAAGAGAAAGGAGGCGGTCCAGCGAGTGTCGCGAGCGCCGGATGTCCCTGACAGAGGAAATGCCTGAGCTTTCCCAGGAAACCTGTCTAGGTGCTAGCGGAGTGGCCGAGACAGCAAGGGACATCCCTGGCCTGAGGTCCAGGGCCCGAACGGTGGCAGCGGAGGGATTGGCCCTGGACCAGCAGTCCAACTGCAGTAGCACTGACACTGAAGTAACGTTTAATGTCAAACGTTCGTCAAAGGCCCCGAAGGTGATTGAGAAGGACTTGACTTACGAGTCAGAAATTTCGGACTGCGAGATGAAGCTTAAGATACGAGGAGTGCCACGGGATCGGGTCAATGCACTCAAGAGGAATCTTCTGGATAGCGCGTCAGTAATGATTAATCGCCATGGAGGAAAGAGGGAGTATCGAGAGATAGACTCGACCAAAAACAGTACAGAATTACTGGGCAGACACAGGAAGCATGAGGGGTTGGAAGTGCCTCCACTTATTTTGCCGAAACGGAAGATGACTAAATACGACGCAGAACTGATCGCGGAAGCCGTGCAAAAAATCCCCAAGCTGAAAATCCGCATGAAAGATCCCAATGGCTGCATAGAGGAAGTGGTCACGTCATCGGAGGACGAGGTGTCTCCGAGGCAATTCTCAGGGTCCTGCGAAAGCAATCCAGCTGCCAGCCAAGATAAACTTCTCTTGGATGTTCCTGACTCCCCGAGTCGGTTGACGAGAGCGCAGCGAGTCCTCATACCCGGACCAAAACTCCCTCAATCACCTACCTCCTCTTCCAAGACTGAATCCCCACCAGGTTCTCCAAGTGTACAGAGAGCTCGTGTGAACCTAAAATTTGACGGTCCCGAGCGGAAGAAGACAAGCCACCAGTTTGCACCTCGGATGTCGCAGCTGCGACACCTCTACGAGATCCCGCCCCACCCGATGTGCCAGAAGGCTGACAAGGACGCACCTCCCAAACACGTCAACTCTAGGGATGTCAAAACCTTCTATCCCTCCTCTCCGGACAATCCGAAAACAAAATCCCCAAGTGACATGCTCGGATCAGAAGAGCGTGCACCCCAGACCTTTAAAGTGTTGGTGAAGCCAGTTGATAACAGAAACACTCGCAAAATCAGGCTGATATTCGGCCAGAGGTCTATGGACTTCCAGGTGCCGAAAACGGAAAAGAGGTATCCAACAAAAGCAAAACCTCTATGATGAACATAACAGACGAAACTTACTCCAGTATTTATTGAATTATCAGCACCTGCTTATCCTGAAATTGATAACTCAATCATTCTCACCAACAGAAATAGATCCTATTAACATATAAATACATAGTATTTGTGCATTTGTTATCAGAATATCAGTACAGATTTAATAAAATGTAAGTGTTATTCATACATGTACTCGGGTATCTCTCTTATCGGGTCATCCAAAAGTCCTAACAGTAACATTTAGTCCCAGTTGTAAATGTAGTTCCTGATGTATTGATCTCGCTTTGAGTAAATGAAGTGAGTTTGTATTGGCTAGCACAGAAACAAATATGTCCTAAGCAGTTGGGTACCAGTTTGTTACCCAATAAATGTTGCGAGATGCACAGCACCCTGTCGTTTACGTCAGGTACCTATCGCATTTTTGGCCCAAAAGTCATCAAATTCTCCATGACAATTCTCGCTGTATTTGTTGCAATTTTTTTGACATTGCTTGGCTGGCACTTGGCAAAATGACCTTCATTAGTTCAAAACTCTTCATCTTATTAGCCTAACAGTAGGGCTGTCCCAAATACAAATGTATAATGAATTCTCAAATATTCGATCATCAGTCGAATATTCGAACAGCTTTTTGGCACATATACACATGACTGTGATGTTATTTTATCGTCAAGTTGTGACGCTTTATTGTCAGGTGCCACTTTTTTTGTCGGCTAACTTTTTTTGGTCAACGGCAGTTTATTGTTCACATCCTTTTAGAAGGTCAAAGCCCTTTTACAGTTAAAAAAATACTGCAGATCACTCCAGCACCCCATATCGATCACTGCACGCAAATTTTAAACTGGCACACTCTTCGTGATATATTTTCGTATATCCGAATATTCGGTCCAATGCAGTTTCGAGTAATTGAATACTAAATAATTTGAAAATGGGCAGCCCAACCTTACAGCAGTAGCTCTACATCATAGAAGTATCATGGCTGGATTTGTACTTGTATAGACCGAATTACATTGAGTTTGAAAAACCCTACGTCTTTCGTATTTAATACATTTAAGGAATTTTAGTGCATTTGTTATTAACCCAAATAGTTTGGTTTTCACCCTTATTTAAATCTAAATGAAATTACTGTAGAGAAAAGAAAGTACCGGTCAAAAAGTGCAAGACAACAAATGTTTATATTCAGATTTATTGAATATTGTTAAAAAATTTACCCAATTTATATACAATGTATTAATTTCACTGAGACAGTGTTATTGTGTCATTTTTTAAAAAAATGTTATTTATTTTAATTGTTTTGCAGCTGTTGCAGTTGACAACACGTACTCGGTTATATTGAATTTGGTGATATTCTGACAGTTAAAGTATCTGGTGTGATTTTGAGTGAAACACTGTTTGCTGTATTTCACTGCTTGGAAAAAAAATATTAAAGATAGACAAACGATCACATCATTCTTTCTTTGTGAAATCTAAGCTTTGAGCAGAAAATGTTGGTAGAATTAACCCTAACCCTCAGTCCTCAGTGGAGGATTGAGTGTGAATGGTGTTTGACAAATATGAGGATTTTGAAGGATTGAGGATAAATGGCGTTGAAGCACATGAGGATTTTGGAGGATTGAGGGTGAATGGTGTTTGAAGAAGAGGAGGCTTTTGGAGGATTGAGGATGAATGGCGTTTGAGAACATGAGGATTTTGGAGGATTGAGGATGAATGGTGTTTGATGAAGAGGATTTTGGAGGATTGAGGATGAATGCATTTTGAGAGGCAGGATGTCGGAGGATTTTGAAGGATTGAGGCGGTGGGTATCCTTCATTTGAACACAAGTGCAACATTTTTTGGAGGGTTTTGGAGGATTGAGGCAAACAAGGGCTTAGGGGGTTGGGGTTAAAGAACATTTTCTATGGGTTGACCATCACAAATCCTTTCGAAAGTTTGATATAACTGAAGATGAACATGACAAAGGAGTGTCTTTGTAACAGTTGATAATGACTACACATACATTTACCCCCAAGTGTAGGTGACTTGTGATGGACTTGGGGAGACGAGTGTGCACTCGTGACCCGTCTACAACACTGGTAATGTTGTATGGAACATCGGGGGGCCAGGGGGAGGGGGTTGGATTTTGAAGCAGACTGCTTGTAAAACCATCATCAACCAGCATGTTGCGGTTAGGCACTGTTTTAGTTGGTATTCGACAAGCTCACCTGGGGTGTACAGAGAAGTGATCAGGTACCCATGGTATCAATCCACATCTCATTGTTATCTTATCAAGGGACCTGACTAAGATTGTCTCATATTTTGTGTGTGAAAGGGTACATGCAATGAAACTGTTAACTCTTAAAAAACAAAATTCATACTGTTGAGGTTAAGTATTTAACCTAAACAAATATGAGAAAAACGGTGGCTCAAATGTCAATTTGTTCCCACCATTTTAAAGCTCGTTACTTCATGATCAACATGTATCTTATTAACAACAATTACTGTTGAAAACACCAAGTGGAAGTACTATTATGTAAGTTTTTGATAATTGTTTTAATACTGTAATTATCTTGGATAAGCATTTACATGTACAATCTTAGTTTTCAAATTTCAACGCAGTGTAAGAAGCACTTGTGAAGTTTTTCCTGGTTTAGTTTGATTCTATCGCATCTGAGAAATTTTAGACATTGTTTCTCTGGGGGCACTTCTTACATCGTATTACAGACGGTTATGTAAATTTTTTTTTTTATTTATTAGAATCTGACGAGGTGTTTGTACAGTGTGTATTATATTTAGACGGAACAGTTCTTGAAATTGTGCATCCTTGTGAATAAATAAAGTAATTTATTTTGAGTGAAATGAATTGAACTGAGTGAAATGTATTGATTTAAATCCCCTGCCCCCACCCTAAATGTCACAATTATTTTAGCGTAAAACTTCAGCATCCGGAAATCTGTGAATGACAAGGTGATTAGTAGTTAAGTAGTGTTCAGAGTTGGGGAAATTGTGCAAGTAATACTATTGCGGGGGGGGGGGGGGGGGGGAGGCTTAACTTTGGGGTGGAATCTGTGAAAGTTCAAGAAGTTGGGGAACAATATCCAAAAAAAAATTCAAAGTTGAGATTTTTTTTCAAAAGTATTGACACGTGCAGATGTTCGAAAACAACTACAGTGTACATGTATATGTACTTTTGTGCCCCAGCCCGACAAAACAACCATAAAGTCAAAGAAAATGTGACATTTTCTTCAAAAATATTTCTTCCTAAAATTTGAACGCGCAGGTGCCTGGGACCATGTAATTGTATATTCCACAAGGACGGAAATAACGAAAGACATTTTTAGAGTGTTTATTAAAACAAAGATGTCTAAATATGGTATGAAAGTCCAATATTTTCCGCCAGTGTATAAATTCTTCCTAATGATCCCAAAAAAGTTGCTGTATTGTACCATGGAAGGAGGATACATATTTTAATTGCCTTCTACTGTCTCTTTTTTCATAGTAAAAGGAAGGGGTTTTTATTCTTCATTAATTTGTAATTTATTCAATGGCTGGCAAGATATTTTATTACAAATATATTAATATTCAATGTGTATAGTTTTTACATGCCCTATCGTCTAAATGGTACCAGTACCAGTTACTAGACTACGCATGTATTTTTATGGTCGACCGGCTATCATCGCGCGATCTTCATTGTAAGGGTCGGCTCGGGAAACACCTTTAAATATGACGTCATTTTACCTCAGTTTACAAGTACCACCATTGCGGTTTTTCATTCTGATATTTTATGCCATTGTGTAAGAAAAGACATTCATATAACAACCAAAATATCGTTTTGTTGGTAATTTTAAAAGAAACAATGTATATATGTTGTTGATTTATGTAACTATTTGGGATATTTTCAAGAATTCAGTAATGCATTGTGGGTAATTTTGTAAAGGGCACAGGAACGAGGTGACCATTTTCGAGCACACTATGCGAAACACGTGAAATAAATTTGCAAAATCGAACATTGAATAAAGTCTCCGTCACGTTGAAGGCAAATCGTGCGCAGTCATGCCCGCTGCTTCGTCAAAACCGACCCCTCAAAATGCCCCGAAAGAGGCCCCAGATTTCCCCACCCAACTGGTGGCCATGATAGAGAAGAAGATCCGGAATCTGGAGAAGAGAAAGGTGGGTTTTTGGTCGGATTTTGTAACGAAAACGGACGGTCCAAAAGTGACGTTGCGACACCGGAAGAGGAAAGTGTGGCCATGGTGGCCGATTGTTTTGTGCATGACAAAGTGGCGACGTTCGAATTTGTCCGGTTCTTCAAAGGTTTTAACAAAAGGAAACATAACCAAATCAGTAGAACTAAGGGTAATCCTTACTTTTAGGACACCTCTATTTTGTACGAGTTCTGTTCAAAACTGACTTTTGCAGATGACTGTCCAGTACCAAAGTGACTTTTGCAGGCTAAAGAAGTCTTTTTTCTTCAGACAAACTCATGTATAATTTTGAAAGCACTTTCAAAGAAAATGTGACTTTCCTACCTTTTTTTGCAGTTCGCCATCTTGCTTTTTAAATTTATTTTCTGTTTGTCATCGTCGTCTTTAACCCCTCATAAATCAAAACCCTGCCCTCTTTCTACAAAATTAAACCTGCTGATATTCAAGAGGTGTCATTGCCAAATGTTCAAATGTGTCAATAAATATCAGAATGTCACTTTTGAGTGTCATAGTCAGCTGTTTTGGTGAGTCTTTTAACCTTATATGGGAAAGGGGTCCTAAAAGTAAGGATTACCGAACTAAGAATGACTGGAATCTATCATTTGTGTCACATTGATTGTGTTGACATGATTTACACGGTTGACATCTTTGTTTTCATTTGACATGTTTGATTCTTTTTTTTGTGTAACATGTTTTTACAATGTCGTCAATTAATGGTTTTATTTTTATGTGCATTGTCACGGTTTGGTTTGGACATTGACCATTTTCCGGTGTAAGATGAATTTAGGTTTTATGAAATACGGACTCGTTGGTGGTATTGTGCATGTTCTTGCATAGATAATTAGGAGAGGGACCGGTCACGTGAGAGGGTTTAACCAATAAAGGGGAAAAACAGTCCGATTTTCATACAACTAGTCCGATTTTCATATGACACTGGCATGACTGAATGACGACATGACGTCCTATAGTACGGTCCATCAAAGAAGCTTGGCGTGCCCTTGTTAATGTTATAGGAGTGGCGACCATTCACCAAATTCCATTGTAATATTTCCTTGAAAGACAAGACTTTGGAAAGATTCCCATATCTGGCCATCACTAATTTTTTCCTTCAGTGACCTACATCATACATGTACGTATCAGCCATCAGATTCAGAAAGTGATAATATGCCTTAAATTAAAAAGTAAAATTTAGCTGGGTAAATATTGAAGTATTTTACTAAGAAAACACTTAAACATTTTCAGACCAGTGACATTGGGTTTGTGTACTGGGTTTCAAGTGATGGCCAGATATATGTCTTTCCAAGACTTTTATTAACACATTTGACTTTTATACAATTTCCTGACACTGCTTTTTTCCTCATATTTCATCTCAATGAAAAATTGAAGGTCAGTCATTTCAAAAATGATGATAGGCCTAAGACATGAATCTGGGACTGAGAAAAATTTCCAATTTTGTAAGGAAATACTTAAACACTTCTACACTCTTCATAGACTTTGTATACAACCACTGAAGGGATGTCAGGTTGCAACATTCTTTCCCCATTTCCATCATGTCCATTTCACAATAATAATTGAAATTCCTCGGCCTACGTGTATTGTGTATAAATTCATAAGGAGGCCTGAACATTTTTTAAAATTAATAAAAATTGTCTAGCAAAAAAATTGATTTTTTTCTGTCGCAAATGCATGTTTTTTGTCCAACATAGGCCTAGGCCCTAATTGTTTTTTCCTCCTCAATATAACAACAGAAGAATTTTGGGCTTGTTCTGTCATTTCTGTTCAGAAACACATTTTTGCCAGTGATTTATTTTATTTATGATTTGTGTTCACCATGCTCAGTACTGTTTTTGTTAAAGAGTGGTCGACTGCCAAATTTAACCCGGGAGTCCGAAATCAACAGTAAAATTATATTATTTGAATACTGTGAAATTCTTGTTCAGTGCTGTAATTTGTAAAGAAAGTTCAAATACCCTTATATGGTCACATACCAGAATGTACATCTACTGTACAGCAAGGCACAAGTGCAAATATCACTTCCTGTTTTGTTTTGTTTTCGTGACAAAACAAAAGTTTGGGATAGGAAATGATTGATAAAATTGAGTATTCGAAACTGTCCCTTTCCGAAATGGTATCCGAAAGGAAACAGGACACCCTATTTGTGAAAACATGTTTTGTGGTACACGTCAAGTTTTCACACAACGCCCACAAAAGGTTCAGAATACGTACATGCATCTTTTCGTTGTTGTAAAACTATCCACCTACATGTATTACGCCATTCAGAATTTATCTAATTACAGTCGAGTCTCGTTAATACAAACTCGTCCGGACCTAGCCAAATTGTTTGTAATATCAGAATTTTGTATATAAGAGGAACATCAGTCCCATTCATTTTGCACATAATTCTCACAGAATTCAAACCTGAATTAAAAAAAATCAAATTTAACAGTGGACAAATGGTGGACTTCAGAAAATGTAAAAATAAGTTGTTTTAGTATTAGTGCTAGAGTAATATTTACAACAATGAACAACGTGTACAATGCAATCACACACAGTGTCCATGTGCATTTGAACATGCATCTCACAAGATACAATGTACGTTGACTCATCTTTGTGGTGGTACACCTACCTACCTGTAGATTTTCAGATTTGATTGTAATTCACCGTGAACCATCTGTCCCTGTGGACTGAATAAAGACCTTGTCAGGCCATTGTTTAGAGTGTGTTAGACATCAAATGCAAAAGCCAACTATTCAAAATGCTAATGTGTACAAGGAAAGGTCAATGTGTGCAGGCACACATCTAGATTACTGGTCTGGAACACCCAAAGGACAAATGTTTTTACTTGTAATCCTCTCGGCCTCAAGTAACATACAAAAGGATTTCCTTTTTAGCGCCGGATTTTACTGCAGAATTTGTAAAATTCGGTTTGAATTCTACTGCATGTATACAGTTTCAAGTTTGGAAATTGGATATTCGAAACCACCTTAAAAAAAATTCAGCCTTCTATTGTTTTGTGACACAAGCTAAACTTAAAGACAACAACTGGTATATTCCCCAATTTGCTCCGTGGTCTCTGACATTTGCTAGAGGTCTTCTTGGTATATGAATAACCTGCCCATTCGACTTATCAGAGAGTCCTCATCCATTTTTCACCCAACAATACAGCTCTGAAGTGTTTTTGTAAAGCTGCCCAGTGGTCATTGAATCCTGCAAACTATATCGCGATTATCACTCACTGGTCACTTTTTGTTGGCATGACTTCTGGGGAAATCAGATAACCGTTATTCGGTTTGAAAAAAGTTTGGATAACCGGATTTTGAAATCTCCGATTTACATGTTCATGTAAACTAGGTCCAGCACATGTTTTTGTACAGAAACAGAATGTGTAGGCCTATAACTAAGCAGTGGTCATTTAAAATGTTCTTCACATGTACTGGTACATGTAACCTATACATTTTTGTACCTCATACATATTCATGAACCAGAGTCAAATTTTACTAGTCCATTCATCATGACGTGTCGGCTGCTTAACTAAGCAATCCTTAAACTATCGTATGCGAGTAGTGTGCACATGTGTGCAAACATCGCCCTAGCTACATGAAAAGATGGCGTTACATGCATTTTGCCAAGATAACTGAGGCAAAGCTGAACAACAGTTTGGTCAACTCTGGGTAAGAGTTGACTTAGGACCAGGTACACATGGCTATTCACTTTGACCCCACTTTGACCTAATGACAAAGGTCACAAGGACAGGGTTGCAGTTGGTGTTGCCTGACTCTATACTTGACCTCATGTCAAAGGTCACAAGGACAGGGTTAATTGCAGTCGGTGTTGCCTGACTCTATATCTGGTCGGACTGCTCATTTTTCTTATTCTGTTGTATTCTTGATTGATTTGCAGTTGAAGTTGCAGTCGTACCAGGACATGGTCAAGTCCGGCCAAGAGTTGACCAAGGATCAGATCCAGGCGGCCTCCCACTTTGATGAGGTCTGCAGCAACTTGGACTTTGCCAAGGAACTCCAGAAGAACTTCCAGACCACCATCAATGACGTATGAGCAGCTTAGGTGTTTTTAATTTTTTTTTTGGCCAGTGTTGGCTGTGGATTTTCGTCAGGGTTTGGCGGGGTAGAGAAAGACATGGGAAAAGGGATAGAGGGAGATTGAAAATCTTTGAGAGCCACAAAATTTGAATAAATCCCACCCACTCACCCATCTTTGTAAACAACTGCAATCGTGGACCCTTATTGTCCCTAATCCTAATTCCTTTGTTTGTACCCTCACTTTTTAGCAACAGCTCTCACTGGTTTTGTACACAACTTTCAATCGTGGACTATCGGTCAATCGTGGACCCTTTGTTTGTGCCCTAACCCTTTTGTCCCTAGTCCACAATTGCCGGTGTTTGCACACACATGCTTACCTACATTTGTGTATTGAACCGATGGTGTGGTCAGTTTAACAAGGTCAGAAAGGTTGTTGACGAAACAAAAGGATGTTTAGCAGTGTGCAATGTACATTATAAGCAATGAGGCTTACAATGTATCTACATGTAAATGGACGTGATCTCGTCTCTGGCCAAGTGAACCAATTTCTCGCCTGCAAAGCTGACTTCTTAAGTGACCAACAAAGTAGCCTAAACATTTGACTGTCAGAACTTGACCCAAATCTCTTTAACAAATTGGCCTTCCCCAGAATAACAAGGTGCTGAAGAAGCTGGCCAAGCGTGAGAACGCACAACGGCACGAGCAGGAGCTGCAGAGAATCCGCGACATCATACTGCTCAACAGCGTCTTGAACAACTTGGGCACGGACCACGTCCGGAACGACTTCCTGGCCGGTGCAAATGGAGCTGTGGTGAGTTTGCAGAAACTAACCCTAACCCCATGGGTATTTTTTTAGTAGAAAGTATCCTGAATCCACCAAAATCCATCAATTTTGCCACGCAAAGAAATTTTGTGGTCAATGAGTCCATCAGAAAACATCAGTTAGCCGGAAGTAAATCTGTCGACATCCTGAATCCATCAAAGTCCCCCAACTGCTCATTATGGAGGTTTTCTGAATCCATCAAAATCCTGCTGTACAGCTAGGCTTACTGTCCTGAATCCATCAAAATCCCCCAACTGCTCAATATGGAGGTTTTCTGAATCCATTAAAATCCTGCAGTACCGCTAGGCTTACTGTCCTGAATCCATCAAAATCTCCCAACTTTTTCAATACATCCTGGTTCCGCCGAAATCCTCCAAAACAGGGGTGTGGATTTTGATGGATTCAGGTACCTTAGGGTTACTGAATTTGTAGTTGCACATCAAGACGATAAATTTATTACTTTAATATTCTTTAATATTTTCACTGCACTTGGGGTAGGGTTTAACTACTAAGTGCAGCAGCATGTAGCACTTATCCAAATGAGAAGCCTACTCAGTGTAGCTAGATCCATCAGGTCAAAAATCTTGAGGTTTAAACAAAATGCCTCTGAGTCTGTGGTCACCATTGTATTGCCTGCCATAATTGTTAATTCTTTGATTACAGTGAAATCTCAATACGTCAAAGTCGGATACCTCAAAACAATTGTTAACGGGGAAAATACAACATTTGCAAACATCAAAAAATAAAACTACCAGATCATTTTGAAATACCTTGCTGGACTGTTAGTGAATGACAGTGTAAAGCATCCTGTAAAATCATGGCACCTGGTATACTGTCATTTTCAAGAAAAGTGGTATTTTTGTATCAATTTCCAACGCTGATCAGCCGAATACTGGCCCCAGTTGACCATCGCACTTGTTTGCAATCGATTACACAACTATGAACGGGTACAAGCCAGCTAGACTGGGTCCCTGACCTTACAATTCCCCAATGTATGTAAACTGCTCTGTTTCTTCTTAAATGGAGTCAGGGAACCAGACTACAGGAAAATGATTGTTTTTCTTGGTTTTTATAGCATTTTTGAACCCAAAACCTCAAAAAAGTCAGTGTAACTATATTTGCTATATATTTCCAACCCCCCAATTCCATCCATTTCTGAAAATTACAGCAAAAGCAAATGATGTATATTCCCTTTAAGTCAAACAAACAATCCATTGCCTTCGGTAGTATAACAATGATGTACAACCCTGCTTAACTCAGAACTCTGCTCAAGTCAAATTTTGAACCTGTTCCCTTGAGGTTTGACTTATCAAGATTTCACTGTTTACTGGTATGTACTTTACAATGTGGTGCAATAAATTTGTTCATTTATTCGTTCATTCACCAACTGCAGCAGGATACAGCTGTGGCATTGTTTAGTGGGACGAGCTGTCATTGTTTAAGAATTGGCCATATATGTTGTGGTGTTGAAGGCCGAATTTTAACAATGTCCCACAGACTTTGCAGCACTGCAAATGTTGCCAGCATCATGACTTTCAATGTGATCCTTAGCTACATGGTATTGACAAGTTCATGGCTACTCGCTTGCAACTCTTGAACAAAGACATTGACTTAATCGGAACCGCCGACATAGTGCTGGATAGCTCAGTTGGTGGAACACCGGAACGGTGATCCGGAGGTCGCAGGTTCACACCCCACTTCAGTCAATTTCTTTGTTCAACTTACAGATTATTACAATGCACCTAGTCAGTTTCCCTTTGTTGAATTTGTTGCTTGTTTGTCTGGCCAATTTTGACAGAAATTAACGGACGATCAAGTGAACCATCTTGATGAGTTCTACAAGTTGGTCATTCCGTCACGAGAAGACGACGAAGAGAGCGAAGGCAAGGAAAAGAGGTGAGTTCAAAAAGTTTTTGCCATTTGTCTGAACTCATTATTCAGGGGACATTTTGTTGGTCTTTTTTGACTGGATTGCCATATGATGGCTGATTATACATTGCCATGTAGCCCTGTTCGTGCTCTTCCTTGAGATATCACAACCAAAATAAAGTTGCCCAAGCATTAGTTAGTGTCGCCGTTTGCGAGTTAGCCACGCCCCTTAGACAACCCTGTGGAATTTTTGTACACTAAAGTTTGTTTGTCTCAGATTTTTAGTCCGTTTGTATATCATGTAATTGGACAATAATTATGTCATAAGCTGCGTTGATCTAATTCTAACGCGTTTCTACAGGTGTAGGTCAATTGCCAGAATTCCGTCTTTCAAAATTGCCAATTACATTTCCGGTGTCGGGAACTTTTTCTGGCCGGACAAAAATTGAAAATGTCAAACTCAAATATATTTTGTTTACAAGTCATCCACATTTTCATTGATGATTGTACTATTATAATGGTAATTTGTTGAGTGTCCCTCATACTGTGGCTTTCCAATGTCTATTACGGAGTCTGAGTCCCTCTTAAACATTTTCGAGAGAGGTTTTGACTTTGAAGTGATCACCCTCTTTCTTTTTCAGTTCGGTAAGCTTCGAGACCAAACTGACGGAGGCCAGCGAACACTTGGACAGTTACATCAAGGCAGACAAGAAGGAAGTTCTGGGAACGACCTGTATCCTTTAAAATCACAAATAACGGAGATTGAATTTAAAAACTACCCGATGGCTAGTAGCTGAGGTTTTAAAATTTTATCTTAGCAGTTGTATTTTTAATATACAAGTGCTAAAACGAAAAAAAAAAAATAAAGTCAGTGTCAAGGTTCAATGAGGAAGTCATCACGCGTGGCAAAGGTTTGCGGACTTGTATGCACAAACAGAATGATCTTAATTAACCCTAACCCTCCTCAATCCTCCAAAATCAACCAAGCAGTTTTGGAGGATTTTGGAGGATTGACATTGAGGCCGTATGACATTTTAGTGCCAGTTGATTTTGGAGGATGCATTGTGTCAAGGTTTGAAGCGATACCTTGCGTTGTGTATGCTCAACCATGCATAAATTATGCCGAGATTATACTAGATATCATCCGCACTGCTTCTGGATAGCGTTGGCAATTCCTCATTGTGTTACAATGATTGTTGGAGGGTTCTGAAGGATTGAGACAGTGGTCACCCCTCCACTGAATAAATTCAAGAAATAACGGATGATTTCATAGTTGCAGTGGGAGGATTTTGAAGGATTCAGGATGGATTCTAGCCCAAAAGACTTAGAAGTGCCTGCAAACTCATAGTGGACACTCAGGAGCAGTGGTGCTTGAACTGCTTTCAGTGACCAACATTTGTTGCGTTTTGAACCGTGAAAGCGTACTCTATTACAGACATTTTACCACAACGGACTGCAGAATCCATCAGATTCTTTGAGTAGATATCATTGTAGTCAGTATCTTTTGAGATAACCTATTTGTATGATTACTCGACCAGTGTATTCTATTTCCAAAATTATTTTGTATGCTTGCTTGTAAAAAGTATATTTCTCGTAGAAAGTATTTTTTCCTTTAACTGCGCTGGCTCAGACAAAGAGTTGAAGGAGCTGGTCCAGGAGATTAACAGCTGCGGTTACCTTGACAACATCCCGGCCCCGCCCGAAGAGGAACCTGCCGGAGAGGGGGAGGAGGATGCCCCGCCCCCTCCCACACAGGGATCAGGTCAGGCCACGTCTGAATTACTCGGATATAGACTCCGTGCACAAACAATAGAGGGCGCTTTGTGACGACTTTACTGAGCACCAGTGGGAGGAACACGCTGGGTGCGCGTACTGATTCTTGTGCGTATTGCCGGAAGTACGCGATACTTATTTGATTCTTAACGTGTATAATCCATAGCGTCTTCGCGTGAGCGTCGTCAGCAATGCGTTCGAATGTCTGTCCCAGTGGTCTTCCCCAACTCTCCTTTTGTGACCGTTGAGGGGGTTCTTGTGCACAGAGTCTGTGGCAGCATTAACCCTAAACTTCCTCCATCCTCCAAAGTGATCCTCCGGGCAGTTTTGGAGGATTGAGGATGAATGGTGTTTGAAGAAAGGGAGGATTTTGGAGGATTGAGGATGAATGCAACATACAACTGTGGAGGATTGTGGAGGATTAAGGATAAGTGCATATTCAATACCGGTTGATTTTGGAAGATTGAGGATGAATGGTGTTGAAGCACATGAGGATTTTGGAGGATTGAGGATGAATGGTGGATTGAGGATGAATGGTGTTTGAAGAAGAGGAGGATTTTGTAGGATTGAGGATGAATGCAACATACAATTTTGGAGGATTGTGGAGGATTGAGGATAAGTGCATATGCAATACCGGTTGATTTTGGAGGATTGAGGATGAATGGTGTTTGAAGAAGAGGAGGATTGAGGATGAATGGTGTTGGAAGAAGAGGAGGATTTTGGAGGATTGAGGATGAATGCAACATACAATTTTGGAGGATTGTGGAGGATTGAGGATACGTGCACATTCAATACCGGTTGATTTTGGAGGATTGAGGATGAATGGTGTTTGAAGCACATAAGGATTTTGGAGGATTGAGGATGAATGGTGTTTGAAGAAGAGGAGGATTTTGTAGGATTGAGGATGAATGGTGTTTGAAGAAGAGGAAGATTTTGGAGGATTGAGGATGAATGCAACGTACAATTTTGAAGGATTGTGGAGGATTAAGGATAAGTGCATATTCAATACCGGTTGATTTTGGAGGATTGAGGCTGAATGGTGTTTGAAGAGGAGGAGGATTTTGGAGGATTGAGGATGAATGGTGTTTGAAGAGGAGGAGGATTTTGGAGGATTGAGGATGAATGCATTTGGAGAGGAAAGACTGTCAGATTTTGAAGGATTGAGGCAGTGGGTATCCTTCGTTTGAACATTAGTGCAACATTGTGGAGGATTTTGGAGAATTCAGGATGGTTCCTAGCATAAAGGCCTAGGGGGTTAGGGTTAATCATGTGTCTCTGGCATTTTTTTTAAATTTCATTATATTTATTTAAACAAAATTTGAACCAGAAGTAATGCAGAAATGACTTGTTTGTTTTGCTGTGCAGGTAATGATGAGGAAACAGCGGAGGAGGATTACATCGTGGTTCAGCAGGACCAGGTCCCCTCACCTGAGGCCCCGGAGGTAAGCAATCCATCAATCAATCAATCAATCAATCAGTCACTTAAAGGGAAAATACATCATTTGCTTTTGCTGTAATTTTCAGAAATGGATGGAATTGGGGGGTTGGAAATATATAGCAAATATAGTTACACTGACTTTTTTGAGATATTGGGTTCGATAATGCTATAAAAAGCAAGAAAAACAATCATTTTCCTGTAGTCTGGTTCCCTGACTCCATTTAAGAAGAAACAGAGCAATGTACATATATTGGGGAATTGTAAGGTCAGGGAACCAGTCTAGCTGGCTTGTACCTGTGTAATCGATTGCAAACAAGTGCGATGGTCAACTGCTGTCAACTGGGGCCAGTATTTGAAGAAAAAAAAGCCAGTTTTTTCCAACGCTGATCAGCCGATCAGCGTTGGAAATTGATACAAAAATACCCCTTTTCTTGAAAATGACAGTATACCAGGTGCCATGATTTTACAGGATGCTTTACACTGTCATTCACTAACAGTCCAGCAAGGTATTTCAAAATGATTTGGTAGTTTTATTTTTTGATGTTTGCAAATGTTGTATTTTCCCTTTAATCAATTCTACAGGGTGAGTAAAAAACCGAAACCCAAATGTAGGGAACATAGGTTTAGTGAAGTTCTGCATGTAGCACTTTCAAAATCTAGAATATAAAAGCTCAATTCATAAGCTTTCTTTTAGTACAAGAACCATTCAAATCACTCATGTACTTTTCAAGCTACGGACTTATAAACACAACCACCGTTTTAAAGTTCTGTCCATGGATCACAAAACAGTAAGTGTTCTTTCAGTAAAACAAAAAACAAATCACATAGGGATGTGTGTGAATTGTTTTCGTTTTGCTGAAAGAACGCACACCTTTTGTGTGATCCGTGGACAGAACTTTAAAACGGTGGTTGTGTTTAAAATTCCATAACTTGAAAAGTACATGAGTGATTTGAATGATTCTTGTACTAAAAGAAAGCTTATGAATGGGCGTTCATATCCTAGATTTGGAAAGTGCTTACATGCAGAACTTCACTAAAACAATAGTCCCGATATTTGGGTTTCGTCTTTTTTGACTCAACCTGTATAGTTGATGTACTGTGTGGAAGACTTGAAGGCCTGTGGCCCACTCACGAGCACCGAGGAAGGGCATGTTAACTAAAAGTGCATTACCCTCCAAAAGCACATATTGTTTTACAGTCTTAAAATATAGTCAGTTGTGCGGCAAAAGACACTTGACCAACTGACTGATCAAATTTTCCCTGATAAATCACAAGGGGAGTTGAGTTGTTGAACAGTTTTAGAGTGAACAGGGAAAAGTTAAGTGTAGCTAGAATCAAACCTGCAACCGTTGGAACTCTGTATTGTTCCCCTTCAATCTAAAAGATCTGGCTAGCTATATGTTGACACAATGGCTTGAAGAGTTGCATTTTACAACTTTACTTATACTTGTTACTTTTTTTTATAGAAAACTGACCATTCCCAATTTTTGTCCGCTGTTCCAGGTGGTTTCGTCCCTCCCTCCGGCCGTCCTGCCCCCTCAAGAGCCGGAACCTCCGATGTCCCGCGATTCCCGCGTCGCGGCGCCTGCGGTGGACCAGGAGGCCTTCCCTAAGCCCATTGAGATGCCGCCCCAGAAGCTGAAGAGCCAGGGGTCTGACGTGCTGGCCTCGGTCCAGCATGGAAGCTTCAACTTCATGCAGGACTCTATGCTGGACTACGACTGTAAGTCAGGCCCCTTAACTCTCTTTGAAAAGTTTTTTCGTTGTAGACCTTCTTGAACCCTTGACCCTACATCCTGGGACGTGTTCAGGATCTAAGCCGGTTTGGAAATCAAGGAAAACTTTGAAAATTAGTTCCCATTTTTTTCCAGTTGAAAATTAGTTCCCATTTTGTTCCAGTTCGGGAAAACTCGTAACCCCATCTAATAACACGTTAAAATTGTGCAGCAGCAAAACCAGTGAGTTTGGCAGTTTTGAGACATCATCTTACATTTCCAACACGCATGCAGAGATGAAACTTTTCCGATTTTAATCGGAAATCCGACTTTTTGAATTTTCCAACGAAATTTCCGATTTTCTTACAATGTGTCCCACAATGCATGTACATGTGTGTATCTGCAGCGCGGCCCAGATTTCGGACACGTATTTTTGTTCGGCCTATTTTCCGATTTTTTTGCCATATGCCAGTTTCATTTCTACGCATGACTACGGCAAAGGGCACGCGCTGACCAGAAACCGGAGGCTTATTTTTTTGGCCTGAAGTGAAATTGTTAAAAATGGTTTCGCTCGCTCTACTCTTCAAGGTCAATTGATTCACGCTGAAGCATCGTTCAGGATTTACAAGAAAATGTTTTTTGAAGGATTAGAGTTTGGAACTGAAATAATGTGCTGAGTTTTGGCTTGACAAACATATACCTTCCTCTATAGCTCCACACATGGACCCGGCGGTCGTAGCTACCGGCCAGTCCTACCACCCATCCCAAGGCTACAGCGCCCTCAACCACCAGCAAGCTGTCAATGGTAAATTCGCATTTGAAGTTTGTAAACATTCTTGAAAGAAAATGGTTGTTGAAAAAAAAAGAAGACAAGAGGCACAACATGAATATGCATGAGGTACGGTTCAAAAGCGCAATATAGATTTATCCTAGACGACTTGTATTAACAAGTCAAGATACATGTATATTTTATGAACATGAGGTCACCTACCTATTTTAGGAGTGATCAACTTGAGCGAAATCTTCCACCTGTGCCTTAGTAGGGAACATGTCGTCGCGTCAGTGCAACAAGGTCTTATCTCCTAAAATGGCATGAACGCAAAACGTGAGTTTCAGATTGTCAAAGGTCGTATCTCGCTTAAAAATAACCCGGATGTACACGCAAAGTCCCTGGACGTTGAGATACGACCTTGTTGCATGGAGCATATTCGCACGATATGCAACTTTGTTGCAGAATGGAGTTACAACCTTGTTGCACTGACGCGACCATGTGTAACCCAACAATACAGCATGTGGTTTTGTGAGCTCTGCGAGCACGACTTGATTTGAACTTGGAAGGTGGTACATTTTCATCGTATCATCCTCATATCGTCACTAAAAATGTCAAGACCTTGAAAATCCTTAAACGGTATCCTGTTTCCCACAGAGCAATCCATGCAGCAACATCAAAGTATGGACCAGCTCTCCCAGGCCCAAACCATGGACCTCCCCCTCTCAGACCCCGCCCACCCTTCCCCGCTTCCCACACACCCGGCTTACGAAGCCCAATCGGGTCTGGTTTCGGACCCGGGTTACGGCATGGCCTCGCCTTTCGAGACCCAACAGCAGAAGCAACAGGCTAGCTTGGCACAACAACAACAACAACAACAACAACAGAGTCTCGGGCACCAAGGCCTCGGCCAGCAGAGCTTGGGCCAGCCGGGAAGTTTACCCGGCCAGCGCGGCCAGCAGAGTGGTCTCGGCGTTCAACAAACTTTGGACACAATGTCGCAGTCACAGACAATGATGTCGACGCAACAACAGCAGCAGCAGCAGCAACAGAAGCGCAACGACTTACCTGAATTCCCCAGTCCGCCTGCTGACGCACAACTCACAAAATCAGAGGTTTGTTCATTCCTCCCCCCACTCCCAGAACTTTGTTTGTGTTCGAACCATACAAAATCTCCAAACCTTTCAGAAAAGTAAACACTGCAAAAAAAAGAAGAAGAAAATTCACACTCATCCAAGGGTCATAATTTTACATCAGATCGTCTTATGATGATTTCATTTATATAGACCTTTGGGGAATTTTGTTAGCTACATTTTGATACCCTGTTTGCTACCAAAGACTGAACTTTATATTTTTTTTGGCCATCAGGAAACATCCTCCAGTTTGCAAGCATCGATGCTCGGCCAGCACTCTGCTGGCATGGGTACCGGGAGCAGCTATTCACAGACGCTATCAGGTAGGTTATAGGGGAAGAAGAAAAAGCCCCCTAGCACTGTGAAATTTGACTTTGTACACGAAAAAGGGCTAGGCACAGAATGCCAAATTGAACACAGAGTGGTGAAAATGACAACTTTGCTGTGGAGAAAGTTGACAAATTGTGATATACTGTGATGGGGGCTGTACAGGAACTAAAAGAAGCATCTGCATGTACTAACCAATTTTGTTTTCATCAAATATAAATGTAAATGTTTCTTTTCTTTCATCAGCGGACCCAGCAAGCCAGCACACGAACCAAATGGTCCCCCCGCCCTCTCTCACCGACCACGCCCCTGCCACACTGCAGCACCACGACATGACGGCGGCCCAGGCCCACCCCAACGCGCAAGCGCAGAAATCCACCATGAACGCCAGCGCCCCCGTGTTCCAGATGACCAACTCGTCGCGCTCCTCGCCGCAGATGCAAGCCATGCAGCAGTCAGCCATGGACCAATCGCAGACGGAGATGGGGACATTCCAGTCAGCGGACGCCACCCCTCCTACGGCAGCCTCCGCGGAGAAGCCGACGGATAGAGACAGCCCTAAGCCAGAGACGACGGCGTCAACGATGGCGTCGCAGCAGAGGGAGCAGGAAGAGAGCCCGGAACAGCCGTCGGATAATCAGTCCAGTGACTCACCAGGTGTGCTTTCATATAGTGTTTGAAATGTCACTCTGTGATTGAATTGGGGCAATTTGTTTAAGAAATTTGGCGGGTGATTTCTGGAGCGCCATCTGAAATAAAGAAGCTTTAAAGTTGGTCCATGTGACTTTTACTGTGAATCTTTTGATGTCTTACACCTATAAATGCTCCATGTAACTATTTCAAATGTTACACCTATAAATGCTCCATGTAACTATTTCAAATGTTGGATCGATGCAACTCTGAAATAGTAATCTTTATTCTCATCAGAGTAGACCAGTTGTAATTTGGGCATTTTTTTTCCATTTTTAACCAACATTTGAAAAATAGATGCTTTATAACTAACCTGATGAAGTTTTAGCTCTGTGAATGCTGTATATTTAAAGAAAACAAAAAAAACCAAAAACAAATTATGCTGGATCTCCATTCCAATTGCAAAGTTGCTGAGTCGTGTTTTGAATTACGCCCTCTCGTGGCACAATCCCAAAAGCAGCATTTGGGACATGATTCTCATTCAGCCAGTTGGCCACTTATTCACAGATTCGGATTCACGGAAATTTCCAAAAATGTGTCACTGAACACATCGTTAGAAATGAACTTCTTATGTTGTTTTCCCTCAAAATGATGGCATGCTTGAAGAATAATGTCACATGGAAGTTTAGTGTCATTACTATCTTTATACCAAGTAAGCTTTTTCACGATAGTTTGGTCGGTTACTTTTGGGTTAAATGGTGTACTCTACCGTTAAACCTGCTGGTAAGAGGTCAACTTTGTTTAAACCCTACCCCTCGGGGTATTTTTGTCTAGAAACCCTGCCCAAAGCAGCAACATGCAACAATTGTCAAAGTGAGAAGCCTGCCCAGTGTAGCAAGATCCATGAAGTCAAAAATCTCAAGACCAAACTGCCTCAGAGTCTGTGGTCACCAACTGCAGCAGGATACAACTGTGGCATTGTTCAATGGGACTAGCTCTTATTGTTTCACTTTTTGCCATTAATGCGCCAGGATTGATGGTTGAATGCAGCAGGGTCCCACAGACTGATGCACTGTGTTGCGACTGGCAGGGTTTAGGGGCAAAGTACAGAGTAGCAGAACAAAGTGCAGATTTGGTTGGTTTCATCTTCTCCCCTCCCTTGTCCATTTCAGGCCAATCGTCCTATTCCTCCTACCAATCCTACCAGTCCAGTTCATCCTACCGTGGCAACGGGAGGGGCAACCCCCGCGGGGCCCGGGGCACCATGAACAGCACCGGTTACCGAGGCGGGAACCGGGGAGGCGGCATGCCGTACATGAGCGCACGGTCTGCGGGACGGTACCCGTCCAACCCCAACCCAAACCCAAGGGGTGAGTGTGTGAAATAACTGGAAATTTTAAAATATTTTGAATTTTAAACAAACCGAGACTAGACTTGTTGATCCCAGACATTGTTCAGTCGGTCAGCCAAGCAGTCATTGGTTCCGTCAGAGGTCAATATTTAACCCTAACTTCCTAGGCATTTTTGCTAGCCTCAATCCTGCAAAATCCTCCAAATGCCTCCAAGTAGAAATAGCATACAGCCTCAATCCTGCAAAATCCTCCAAATGCCTCCAAGTAGAAATAGCATACAGCCTCAATCCTGCAAAATCCTCCAAATGCCTCCAAGTAGAAATAGCATACAGCCTCAATCCTGCAAAATCCTCCAAATGCCTCCAAGTAGAAATAGCATACAGCCTCAATCCTGCAAAATCCTCCAAATGCCTCCAAGTAGAAATAGCATACAGCCTCAATCCTGCAAAATCCTCCAAATGCCTCCATGTCAAAATAGCATACAGCCTCAATCCTGCAAAATCCTCCAAATGCCTCCATGTCAAAATAGCATACAGCCTCAATCCTGCAAAATCCTCCATTATTTCTTGAATGTGGTCCTTGGAGGGGTGACCACTGCCTCAATCCTGCAAAATCCTCCAGCAATCACTGTCAATTTGTTGTGGCAGAGCCAGTGACATCCTGGAGCAGTGCGGAGGATTTTAAGTATAATATAGGCCTCAATGTATGCACGGTTGAGCATAAACAACACGAGGTCCGGCCCAAGACCTTGACACAGTGCATCATCCGAAATCAGCAACTTTGTTTTGCCATATAGCCTCAATCCTGCAAAATCCTCCATTTTGCAAAGAGGACTTTGGAGGATTGGGTTAGAATAAAAAGTTGCATTTTATCTGTGTTCTTAAAAAAAATTGATTTTTTTTTCTCTTCACAAAATTTCAATGTGTATGTTTTGTACCGATTTTGCGCATCTAAAACCCTGAGAAAAAAAGGCTTTTATTTTGCGCACAAATGAACTTGCCCTATAATTCAACAACTGCACGTCAGTGGACATTTTTGTTTAACGTCTTAATTCAAAAGTGAATAACTTTCATATTTCTAGGAAATAACAATTGGAAAAATAAATTTCCTTTTCAAGGTAAAACTGAAAAATAGCACCCACGGGAACGCATCTTTAACACAACTTTCCCCACTCTTTTTATCTCAAACCCAGGCCCTGGTGGGTACAACTCCTACCTCCCAAGAGATAACTTTCAGCAGAGGGCGCCAGACATGCCGTACGGCAACACCAACCCCAACTTCAACACCTTTAACCGGCCGCAGGACCCCAACTTCAACACCTACAGCAGGAGACCGGGCCCACCACGGGGATCACCCAGAGGTAGGCAATAAACGTGCAGGCACGCAACTTTTCCTCAGATCCGCTGATTTCCTAATTTTTTAATAAGGGAATAAATGTGTGCTCCGGAGGTTTTTATCACTCTGTTTAAGACCGCTTAGAGTCTGGGTGCTGATAATTACCCGAGCCGGAGGCGAGGATAATTATCAGCACCCAGACTCTAAGGGGTATTAAACAGAGTGATAAATACCGACCGAGCACATATTTATTCCCATTCATAAATACCTTATCCGTAAAAAAATATCAAATAATTCGTTCAAAAAATTCCGATTTTGTACAACAAGTTCACTTCATGCTTTTTGAAACATCCCTCTAGCAAAATAATGGAGTGTTCAGCTGGCGAGTAAGATGTAAACAACCCTTTTATGGAGATTTACGCGCGCGTAGCATGTTCTGCGCGATGTCACGCAGAACGCACCTGGGGCGTTGCGTTTGAATTTAGAACTATAAAATTCTGACTCGCTTGTAGTGTTGCGCATGCCTACGTGAGGATTGTGAACGTTCAACCAATGAAACGGTAAGAGGCACTGGATTTTTAGGAGTCCACATTTTATTGTGACACTGGAAAAGTGTTTAAGACCAGCTAGCCATGTCTTTATCATCCGTTTAAGACCGGCCACGTGACGGGCTCTCGACCAATAGGAATAGCTAAACTGTCTGAGGTATTTATGAATTCCGGTTAATGCCATTGCAAATTAAAAAAAGCCGTATGAAGTCTAGTGTGGTTTAGAATTTCCTCGTTTTTTAAAATAAAAATTCCCAGTTGCATTCCTGCCTTGGGATTTGACTTGGAAGTGTATTTTCAAAAGAACGTCGGCTTGAGCCCCTTTTGAGCAAAACCATTCAGAAAAACTGCTGTCAATCTCCCTAGGCCTTTTTTGCGAGGATGCACTCTCAATCCTTCGAAATCCTGTGTGTGTTCTTGAAATGGAAAGAGGAACGAATGTTGCATCCTGACGCCATTTTTTCATCATATATTATCTCACTGAAGGTCAGTCATTGAAAAAAATGTTGAAGAGACACGAATCTGGGACTGAGAAACATTTCCAATTTTGTTAGGAAATACTTTTAAAATACACTCAACTCTCTGTAGACTTTGTACACAACCAAAGAAGTGGCGTCTGGATACTTCATTCTTCCCCTTGAGTTTGTTCATTTGTGGGGTGACCACTGCCTCAGTCCTGCAAAATCCTCCAACAATCACTGTCAGTACGTTGTGGCTGTGCTGATGAAACCCAGAAGCAGTGCTGATTTCAAGTATTATCTTGGCCTAAATGTATGCATGGCTAAGCACAACACACAAGGTGCAGCCTAGACTTTGACACAATGCATCCTCCAAAATGCACTGACGCAGTTTTGCCAAACAGCCTCAATCCATTGAAATCCTCCACCTGTTCGAAAAGGATTTGTGAGGATATGGGAAGGTTAGGGTTTAAACTTGAAATCTGCTTTAGTTGCGCTGTTGCAGCGCGTCATAGCAAAAGTTGACGTTCAATTGTAGACAAAGCGTTTACGATGGCTGCTTGTGTATGATTTCTGCTCGGAAACAAAAGAGTCGTTAATTCACCTCATTTCACTGTTTTGCAACAGCTTTTGTTCGACCTTTTTTGAAGTCGTGTGCCAACTCAAAATTTTTTGTCAAGGGTAAAATAGCAATTCATTTACTTAAGCCACCTAAAATGACTGAGTAAGTTATGCCATAATCTGTCGTATAAGTCTTAACTGAACAACATGGAATGTTGCGCGACTCACGTAATAAAAAGTGGAGTTACGCCATTGTGTATACTAGTTTCATGAAATGAGCTGACGTACTCGATAGATGGTTTCTTTGAAACTTCCCACACATGCAGCTTGATCAATGCACAACTCAATATCATAAAATTCTGAAAATTTAAATTTTGCGTATTTTCCAGGAACGCGTGGAGGTCCAACCGGGGTCAGAGGTCAGGCCAACTTCCGAGGTCGGGGCGGTAGCAGCGGTTTCAAGCCCCAGTCGTCGCAAGTGACCGTGTAGTAGGAGATGCTAAGCCTTGATTTGACCGATCCATTAAGCCCATTCTCGTGGTGTGTTTTGACCAATCACAGTTGTACAAAAGTCGGCCATGTGTATGATGCGCACAGCTGGAACATGCAGTGTGGCATTTGAAATGCGCATAGTTGCCCACGTGGGCGGAGCCTAATGAATCGGTCTATTGAATTCTGGAGGGAGGCAAACTTCAGAGAATATCAAACTTTAGAGAAAGCAAGGCTTTAGAGGACATTACCTCTCCCCCTCACTTCAGCCCCTCCCCCCTCACTTTAAGTACTCCCCCTCACTTCAGCACCTCCCTCTCACTTTATTCCCTCCCCTTCACTTAAACCCCTCCCCTCTCACTTCAGCCCCTCCCCTCTCCAGCCTTTTCCTTGCTTCAGCCCTCCCCTAACGTTAAGCTCTTCCCCTAACTTAAGCCCTTCCCCCTCACTTAAGCCCCGCCCCCCTATGTGAAACCCCTCCCTCTCTCTTAAACCCCTCCCCCTCTCTTAAACCCCTCCCCCGTTCCATTTCTTCAAAGTCCCCACTTTAGTTTTTTTTATATAGAAATAGTGCCCCCTGTAGATCTCGTGCTCACATCTTTCAGTAATGGAGTCCCATCTGCGGCGGCCATATTGGACCGGTTTCCCAAATCCATGTTTGAAATCATAGTGAACCTGTGATTCGGAATGATGTCACAGGGACCAGACTATTTTGTCTGATGGTGATATGCATTGTATGCTGTGCATGCATTAGTGTCTGGGTCCCTAAAGACATCACAGTGTTTTGCACTTATTTCTTAATATTACATTAGAATAACCCAATATGGAAACCAATATGGCTGTCACAAGAAACTGAGTTTGAATGCCAAAAAAAAAAACCCTTCAAAAGAATAGTCCTTTAATAAACTATACCTGGGAAGAAGGCAAAGCAATAACAAAAGTATGCAACTGCAAAACCAGAATTTGAACTGTCATTAAAACTCATAAAAAAAATCCTTTTTTGGGGTAAATCGTTAGAGACATTTAACCACCTCTCCCCCCCCCCATATGCAACTTGAGAATAGCAGCAACGATAGTTATATGTACACCATGGCCTAGCTGTAGTCTTATTTATAGAATCAAAAACGTGTGTCTTTTGTCATTGTGGAGATTTTCTTTTTACCTTGGGCAAGAAGTTTTCACCAACCTAGTGGATTGTCCACTGCATCATCAAGTTTTTCAATTTTGGTGACAAGTCGGGTTTGAAAAATGTTATAATTTGCTTAAGAAAATCTGCATCTGTACTTGCAGTGCCATCTAAAGAGAGTGTTTTTCATTTTTACCCTTTTTTGATCTCAAAATATGAATGTCTGCACAAAAACGAAATTGAGATAAAAGTTGCATTGTTTATGTCAGATCCATATATTTTTTTTTTACTGAACTCACAGTGTAAAACCGATTCAAAGATTGTGCAGTGATTGCTTTTCAGTGACCGTGGACATTTTTTGTGTGTGAAATTATTAAAAGAAATTGAGACCAGGGCCCAATTTCTTGGCTCTGCTTACCGTTAGCGAAAAATCCCTGCTTACTGTAGCAGAAAATTCCGTGCTTACGGTAAGCCTATTTCACGGGTTAGTGAGGAATTTTGGCTTCTGCGCACCCGTACATCCCGTATAAACTAAGGATTCTGTGCTTTACTGGATAGCACAGAATTTTTCTGCTAGCGTGGTTAGCACAAAATACGTGATAGTAATCGCGGAATTCTGGGGTTAGCAGAGCGAAGAAATTGGCCCCTGTTCCTTTTGACTTGGCCTGTACTTTTATGGCTACCCACATCCTGCCCACCACTGCATTTGAATTGGACGCTGCAGTTTTGTCTGCTTTGGCTGTGGCTATGACATTTGGCCACTTAGTTGGCTTCTGAATTGGCTGCTAAATGTATCCGTTGCAATACTAAATTTGGCTGTTATGGCTGTCGGCCACCTTCACTTTGGCTCCTGAAGTGGCTACCAATGCATTGGGTACACTGCTCACTGAATAGGAGATTGTGGCTCTGGCCACCTTTGTTTTGGCTACTAACGTGGCTACTTCATGCAGCTGCTACAACTTTAGCAATTCATCCCTGCAGTTTGGAAGAAAAAAATTTGGAATAATGTTTTGATTTGTTTTCAATATACAGTCCACAGGAATAAATTGAAGTTTTTCCAATTTCTTGATAAACAAGAGATTTATCGAGTAATATGATATTGGAAGTAGTAATGTGCTTTTTTTGTGTTACTAACAGATTATTTTGTAGTTGCCATCCTTGCATACAAATTGTGTAATTTTTTTGTTTATAACAAGAGTTGTATTATTCATGAGATGGAATTTTTGCGTCGGGGGTGATGTAAATCAAATTAGGTTTTACTCAGCCAACTGATCCCGTTAGCTCGGTGGTCGAGTGGTAAGACGTCTGCACTAGAAAGCAAGAGGTCGTGGGTTCGAGTCCCAACCAAGTGATTTTTTTCCCACTTTCACTCGGGAGGTAACACACTGAGTATACAGTGTTTATACGTCGGTGAAGGGCAAAACCTAATTTGATTAAGAGTTGTATAACCTTTGCACAAAGCGCAGATTTCCTGATGATGATTTCTTTTTCTGTCTTATACCATGTCAAATCTGGCAAGTTTAAGGAAAAAACTGAAATGAATTGGAATAGATATGGTGTACGGTTGAGAAGACATCAGGTTAATTTTCCCTTTGTTTACAGTGTTTGGCGTATAATCCCACACCCCCCTTTTTGGGGGGGGGGGTGTTTGCTTTAAAGCCGCCCTTCTTTTTTTCCTTGCATTGTGCAAAGGTGGTATACTGATGTCTGTGTATTTAAAAAGTGCTTTGAGCAGACCTTTTTTGCCCCAGATGAATTTTGTTTTGGAAACTCGAATCCGAAGAGTTCCTTTGCTGAATATCTTTTGTGTCTGTTTGTAACTTCTTCAAAACAAACAAAGTTATAAAATGACGCCAAAGTGGTTAAGCCAAAAATGTGTTGATTTAAAATGTGCCCAAGTGTTCGAGCCGATTGTTGTTTCTTTGATAGCTTTTTTTTTGTACATTTGTTTTTGTTTGTCTCTTTTTTGTTTGTTTGTGAAATTATCTTGTCGTAAAAATGTGAAGCTTTGCTCCTTTGTTGGGGACTTTCATGTGTTTCCATTGAACGAAAGGAGCAGGCTTTATCCAGATGTGTTGTTTACATTAATTATCGGCCACTGTGTGATTGGCTGAGAGATGGCCATTCTAATGAATATTCATTGTTCAATATTTGATATTGAATAATAAAAAGCTGTTGGGAACACTGTCGGGCAGACTTCTGCAGACCTTAAAGAAAATTTTGAAATTCTTCCCTTGTTAATGGAGTTTTGTGCACAAGAATCCTTAGTGGAGACAATAACAATGACACACAGTTGCTCTTGCTGTGGTGAACTCTTAACTGACGTAGGTTTTTCTCATTGGAAGATGCTAATGAATTCGTCGGGTGCACCACGAAGTGACGAATCGCCTATGGACTTTGTGCACATGACACCTGACTTCGTGGTGCGACTGACAAATTCTGCCCATTGGTTGTGTGCACACTGAGCACACTCCGCTGGCTTGTGAATAGACTGATTGCATTCAGCATGCTCGGCAGACATGTTTGAGGTGTGTTTTGTTATGTTAATTAATGAACAATGAATATGCAAGGTCCACTCATACATATTCATGTTGATTAAAAGGACACACTTCAAACATGGCTGCATGTGCAAACTGTCTATAGGGATACACCACCATGTGTTGCTGCACTGATTCTATAGTCATGTCTATATGTAAATGGACTCTGCAATCTGAAAGTCCCAGAGCTCCTGCCAAAAGTTAGTTGAACAAGTAAACTGGCAGCGAGAATTTTTTGCAACTCTCAATCCCTGTCTGCAAACCGTTGACCAGAATTCTACAAACTTTGCAGAAGTGTTCAGACGTTGTGTGGGAAGAGTTCTACAAACTCCGTACATTTTTGTCCGCAACTGTTGGCTTGGATTTTAGACTGGACAGTAGGTGCTCAGACACGTTGTCAGAATACTACCTTGGAATGCAGCAGACTTTGGAGTGCTATTGAACCATCAGTGCACTGTCAGCTAGAATGGACCCAAGACATAGTCATGCTTTGTTGACATGTTCAATTTCTTATGGGAGCTCGGTGGCTCTCTTCCCTACCTGGTTGCAGTGGCATGGCGATTGTGGAGGGTTGAAACCCATGATCAAGGAAAAGGGGGGAGGGGATTAGCAGATGTGGTTGAAACCATCAACACAGCTGCCAACACATTGATATTTTTTTTTTGTGGACAAACTTTGGTCAACCCCCACCCATCACAAAGTTCTTGCTATACTAATGCCTGGTTCCTATAAGAAAATGTACATGAAGTCAAAGCTTCATGTTGTTACGTAACAGATCTGCTCTACAGATATACAGCCAGCGTGCAGACCCAATTGTACTTCCATGTTGACTGCCAGTTGAAAATGAACATGTACACAAATGTACTACATGAAAATGTTATCTAGCAGGGATGTAGTCGAGCCCAGTACACGGCCCTGCAAGTCCATTGCAAGTTCTCTTCGCAAATCAAATTACTAGCCTTTGAAATGAGCTTTATAAAAAAGGCATTCCTTTGTTATTGTTCATCCGCTGTTTCTTGTGACTGGACTTGTAACTGGACTTGTGATGGCTTCGATTACATCCCTGTCATGTATGGACCTACAATCCCGGCCAAAATGGTTCGGACATGTCCACACAAGAGCATACCCTCCCCGCTCCCCTGATCAATATTGTCATATTGCGCTGTAGCACAGACTGCGCAGTGAGAGACAACATTGGCCGGGGGCCAGGGGTGGGCGTCCAGCAAGTTCTGGCCGGGATTGTAGATTGAAGAAGTTGCAGAAAGTGTGCGAACCACTCTCAATTTTTATTATGCTTTCAGTTGAAAAAGAGCTCGGATACCGGTAATTTCACTTCTTTGGAATTCTTCAGACTTTCACCGAATGTTCCTGTACATTGAAGTTGTGTGTTTGTGTAGATAGGTAAAAGAACGTACAGAAGAAATGTATAATCCATGTTTAATCTATTCATGTATGTGTGTTAATTGTTTCCTGTGACGTGTTGGCAAAAAGGCAGTTTCTGTTAAAAATGTGCTTCGTGGACACGGAACCCTGTGTAAATTTTAAGATTACTTATTGTTGAGAGTTGTGAAGCGGGTTTCATTAGAGTTTATGCGTAGCGGCCATTTTAGAGGGCATGTTTTATTTTAATTCAGTAACAATGAAAGCACAAAAGGTTCACTATTACATATCCCAGAAAAACATACATTGCCTTCTAAAATGGCTGCTACGTATAAGGTCTAAAGAAACATTCAAATATCCCAGTTATTGTGTTACTGACACCATCTACATGTACCTGCGATAAGACTGCAATGTCGAACAGACCTTGCAGTTCATGACATTCATGTTATTTTCATTCAGTTGATTATGATTTCTGCTAAAGAGAAATATCCTTGAACTGTTTTCTACTGTTTATATAAAAAAGAAAATTAAAGCAAATTTTTTTTCTTGTAATTTGTTGTCGATGTGGCTAACATTGTACATGCAATTAAATTAAAAGAGTTAAAACATGGGTGATGCTGATGCATGAGTGTCACGTGAGTGTCACATGTGTTTCACATGGGCATCGCATGTATTTCACATGGGCAGCACATGTATTTCACATGGGCATCGCATGTATTTCACATGGGCAGCACATGTATTTCACATGAGCAGCACATGTATTTCACATGGGCATCGCATGTATTTCACATGGGCATCGCATGTATTTCACATGGGCAGCACATGTATTTCACATGGGCAGCACATGTATTTCACATGGGCAGCGCATGTGTTTCACATGGGCATCGCATGTATTTCACATGGGCAGCACATGTATTGCACATGCATTTCACATGTATCTCACATTGGCATCATGTGTCACATTGTCATGTTGCAACTGTTCATTAATTTTCTTTTGGCAATTTGCTTGCAATTTCATAATAAAAAAAATAATCAATGAAATCGGTTGATTTTGTTGATAATCTGTCATTTGATTACAAACAAAAGTGTTGAGCTGATTTATGTATTGTGTGTGGATATGATTTGCATTTTTAAAGGCGTATAGAATCATTTGCATTTATTCCAAAAGTTACCCATCAAATTATTATCAAAAAGCTTCCTTGGATTAAAGATCATACTGGTACTGAAGACCCTGTGAAATTATTCCGTTTGGCTTGCCGTCATTTAGAACGAATCAAAAATTTCCAGCGATAAGCCAATTGCCTGATTTTTTTGTGCTCCATCATGGCCCCTGCTTTAAATCATAATCAAGCATTGGTCTTGATGGTCACCAGACTAACACTAGAGAGTGGAGTTACACACTGGATAGGGTACAGAAACCAGACATTTTAAATCGTGATAGATTTACAGTCTTTTATTGCATCAAAATAAATATACTGCAGGGTGTGTAAAACATAACGCACGGCATGAAAAATAATCTTTCATTAAATTTCAGACAAAATTAAAACATGTACGTAAACTATTTGAGCAAAAATTGAAAATTAAAGCAGTGTAACACATCTGTTTCTTTTAATATATATATATTTCCACACACTCCCACCATCTATAGATGAAAAGATTGAAATTGTTACACTCAATCTTTTTTGAATCTTTCAAATTCAACATCTGTCAAGTAGTTCAGATTCATGCACGTTTCGAGTTTCACAGCATCAAGCCCAAGTAATAGTGGTTTAACTGGCTATACCTTCCTCAATACTACAAAATCCTCCAAAACAGCATCATGGATTTTGAAGGAAATTGGTTCAATACACTTTTCAACAATCTCTGAAATAATAAAGAATTTGACACCATACCGAGTACCCTTCTGCCATTGCAAAAAATGAACTTGAAACCCTTAATCTAATGGGATATGGGCTCTTGAGTGCCAACAAAAGAGGGTGCTTTTTGAGAGCACCGTGGATGGGACACATAGCATGTACATACTGGTTCACACACACATAGCTTGAAGTACGCACTGCTAATTTTATTCTAAATGCGCACAAACCCATAGCATCTTCGCGTGAGTGTCAGGAATCGGCGGTGCGTTCGAATGTCTCTCCCGATGGGCTCCCTAGTCTGGGTCCCAGACCAAAGGATCTATTTCTGATAAATCTAAGACTTGTCAGAAATAAAATTTGGAATCTTTTGGTTGGGGAACCAGACTATGGTCTCCCCCAACTCTCCCTTTCTTGCCAGTGAGGGGGTACTTGTGAACAGAGCCCATAGGGAAGGGCTAGGTGGTTAACCCGACCTTTACCCTTTGACCCGCTTGATTGCCCCAAGTAGAGCTTTCTTCAGGAAGGTCTGGTTGGCATCTGCTAGCCTCTGCAGGGCGGCAAGACCCGCGGCTGAAATCTGTTGGCAAGGAATAAGGTAGCAGATAAGATGGCGTCTGTGTAAATATTAAACTTGTTGGGGGTCTCCATTAAAGTTACTTGGATCATTTGTTCCTTGTGCATTTTTTTTTCAAAATCTTGAGTAGGGTGATTAGAAGGCATATATAGGCCATCAGCCTGGGGATTTGGTCAGTATCAAATCAGGGCATAAATGATTATAGTGCGCATGCGCAAGGTATAGGCCTACCACCCCATGGTAACAAGTATTTTGATGGACATTTTGAAAAAAGGGTGATACACCCAAAAAGCTGCCACCGCTACAATGCTATCACATATTTTTACTCTCTGGAGGTGTATACCTTGCCAAAAATCGCTATGACGATTATTCCCCTCATTTGTTACCGGTGGCCAAAATTTTGGACCGAAGCTACCTAAATATAAGTTCATTTGCATCAGTCATCAGTTCACAAAATGGGTCAATTTTAGGGTGTTAATTTATAGCAGACATTGTTCCACTCAGATGTTCAATGTTTTGCGTCCATTGGTGCTGGAAAAAATACCCCAAAAAACCACTGTTCATTTTCAACCGTCAAAGTGCAGTTTGTTGAATCATCATGTCACATGTGACCAGCCAAGGGATACGTAATCAAATAGGAACGTCATTGTACCTGTTTAGAGAACCGATTAATGACAGCGAGCAGGAGTTTTGCAAACTTGGCGCATGAGCTCCGAGAACTCCCATGATGCTCCAGGGCGGTGACAAACATCTCCAGTGTGTGGTTATCGAGCTCCAACTGAAGAAAAAACAGACAGGGGAGGAGAGGGAGGGTAGGGATGGTGGTGGGGGGGGGGGGGATAATAAACATACTGACTCTTGAATTGAAATTCAAAAAAAGATTTCCTGATGACCGCTTTGCAGTGTTGAAGTCGAGTCCATCACAAACCCCATGAAAAGTAAATCGCACATCAGTTTAAAAGTTACAGGGGACGGAACACAACAACCAAATGCTTTGGTCACAGTTCATTCGACTAACTTGTGACTTAACTTGAGATTGGAGGACCTTTGATGGACTTTCAAATGCTTAACCCAAGACCCTTTTAACCAGTGCAGATGTCTTAACCACCTGACCACCAATAATCCAGCCAGGTCATCTGGCCTGTTCAACCTGGTTAATCTCCAGTACTAGTCACTCATCAACACCTTTCTTGCTGTCTGTTGGTCGGAATGTCTGTTTGTTTGTTTGTAGGTGTACTAGTATTTGCTCCACTCACCTTACATGCCAAAGCAGTCTGGAAAAGTCCTGTCAAGTCATCCGACCACTGTAGTGTCTGGATTGAGAGAAGCTTACTACAAATAAAAATTTAAAAAATCAACAAAAAAATCAAATAAGAGCCACAATTGACCCTTTTAAAAAACCCTGCGCAGGCAATGTAATCCATTTTGCTTGATCATAGAACTATTATTTCACAAGTTCCTCATTCAAACATAGCCGAAACGGCAGCATCGACCTGTATACTTCCCAGTTTGGAATAAAGAAATATTTCAAATAATTCAAATGGAGGCCTTTCATGTTGTGTGCCTGTGTCACATGGAAGTGAGGAAACTTTTCTTTTTTTAAGATTCTGTGCATGACAACTGCATCAGCAGTACAAGATTTTGAAAAATTTCAGTATACTTTGGCACTGTTGCCAACATCCAATCAGATAATCCAATGGAAACTGGTCTTGCAACAGCAGCCAATCACAACTCACCTTAGAAGGTACACTCGACTCTCATTGGTCAGTGCCTCTTTCAGCACCTTGACGACCAGGTCACACTGATGGGAGGTGGATCCGCCCACCTGGCCATCCCCTGCCAGGGCGAGGAGGAAGGCGCCCTCTATAAGTGGCTTGGGGAAAGCTTTTGCAAAACCGATGGCTGCTGCGATGAGAGTTCTAGGAGCAGTTTGGGTCAAATCTCGAATCTGACAGAATATGGAGAGTAATAAAAAACTTCTTTGGATAGGCCTAAAGCCAAAAAAAGTCTCCGGTTTCTGGTAGGGACTTGCCCCAAAAGTGTTGTGGCGATGCAGCTTTTTTCTTTATTTTTATCATTTTTTTTCTTCTTCAAATGTTGGCTGATGACTGCAAATGGTGCCCGCCTAAATTTAGTGCAAATATATGGGAGACCATAGTGGCCACATAAAGCTTATTCTCAATCATAACCCCATCTAAAAACACGTTAAAATTGTGCAGCAGCAGGATTCCAGTCAAACCAGTGGGTTTGGCGGTTTTGAAACATCATCTTTCATTGAAAAAAAAACAAGCTTTTTCATTTTGCTGACGTGCATGGCTACGCCGACGCGTGTGCATACCAGAAACCACAGCCTTTTTTGGGGGCCTAACGATCAACTGTATATCATCAAGAGTCAATTCACAATAATAACAGAAAAGTTGCTGAAATAAAGTTCCCAAAATAATCTCACAAAATACATCTCCAAGGAAGTTTGAGAAATTTTGAGGACCAACCTGCTGTCCGAAACACCTCCTTGCCAGTATTGTGGCGCTGGAGTGACCCAGTTCCAAGGAGAACCCAGACAGTTCCTGGGCCAGGGCAGCCAGACCTGCGGCTGGTGTGGAGTCTAACTCCAGGATGTCACACACTGCTTCCATCTGAATCGCAAGGAGAAAAACTCTTGAGGTAGTCTCCAATACAAACCACTGGTTAGGCTCACTCGTTTGTTTGACAAACGCCATAAAGTGCAACACTACCAGCAAATCTCAAATCAAGACACATGTTACTTGTTACAAAGTTGTGTCTCAAGTGAAAGAAAACATTTTTAGATTCTAGTCAAAGTCGGTGACTTTTAGTCTCATCACTTAATTCTTTAGGACTGCCAGATTAACCTAGACTTCCGCTTTACTTTTTATCAAAGGGTATAAAACAGTGCTCATCCTCAGCTCCTTTGTAAGGAACAAAGTAAACTCTGCTACGAGCCAATGTGGCTCATCAGGCCGGCATTTATCTCCAGTTTCAGTAGCATGAAACGACCGAAAATATTTCTACTCCCCCTGGACGAGATGCTAGTCCATAGCAGGTTAGTCCCCAGCTAATGCCGGTACCTATTCACACTCCTGGGTAGACAGAGGCAAGTGAGGGTGAAGTGGCTTGCTCAAGGACACAACATATGACCAGCAGCTGGATTCGAACCCCTGACCCTCTGATCAAGAGTCACGGACCCTAACCACTAGGGCACACCCCCACAATCCTCAGCTCCTTTGAAAGGTTAATTCTCTGAATTAATTGTGACTTTGGTGGAGAAAGGCCCCTTCCCTACCCTGTAGATTCCCTTCATCCCCACCCCTCAGGTCCCCCTGGGTGTGTCGCACTCTACCTTATCTATTGGAATGCCGATGATGACCCTCGCAAGCTCAGAGGGTACTGGTCCTGATGAGTTACAAAGAGCTGCCTTGAGCGACGCCAACTTGTCCTGAAGGAACAAGGAATAAGAGCTAAAAGTTGCATCATAAATTTGTTTTTCAACTTGCATATATCAAAATGCTCCAATTTTAACAAATCGGAATCTGCAAAAATCTGGGGAAAAACAAGAAATAGATTTTTTATTCTGGCCAGAAAAAGAGTGGCCTTATGAGCTGACTACCGATACAGAATTGTTGTTTGGCCACAAGTACTCCTTAAATTAGTAAAGTAATAATTCAATAACTAAACTTGGGCACATTTCATTGGATGATGTCTCATTCAAAAGTGAATAAATTTGGTACTGTCAGAAAAATAGCAATTGAGAAAAGGAATCTTGTTTTCAAGATGAAACTTGAAAAGAGCACGGGGGATGCAGCATGAAGGTATTAAGACCAATTGGCAATTGGACATTAAAGTGACTCTATCTATCTTACCATGGTTACTGCATCCACAACATCATTTCTGCTCCGCTCTTGCTTCCTTCCAATGTCCTCCACATCTGCTCTTTGTCCTCCCACGACCTCCCCCTTGACCTGTGAACTCTGACCTCCGAAATCCCCCGATGCAATTTCGTTGACAACTGACACTTCTGAACGCCTCTCTGGCAAGTTTGGAGCAGCTGCTACTTCCACCTCCATCGGGGACGGCAGTGGTGATTCTTCAATTTCGATAACTTCGGGGCTCGTGGAACGTCCCTCGTTTGGGATCGCGGAGTCTTTCTTCAAGCTTTCCTCTTGACTTGCTGGCACAACCTTTTCAGCTTCGTCTGAGTTCAGCTTTTCAGAAGAGAAGCATCTACTGTGCTGGCAGGTGTGACGATTGCTCGACACGGCCTCCGGCAGCCAATCAAATTGCAGCGTGAATCCCCCGCCTTCATCCAGAATCCCGTCCTTGTCTCTGATCTGCCGACAGACATTTTCAAACGCATCCCTCGATCCCCGGGTCAATTTCATCTGAGAGTCATCGGCACTAAGCCCAGACCCGTAATTCAGGCACCGATTTCTGCATATAAAGTCCTGCAGCGTTCTGAGGTGGTGCTTTGTCCATTCGTCAGACACGGAACAATTTCTTAAGGAATCTAGGAGTTTCTCAAGACAAGGCACGGGTATCTCTGACAAGTGATGGGAGAGAAACGCCACGGTGTTTCTTTGAACGTTCACCGGGAGGAGGAGAATTCTTGGCAGGCTGAAAAGTGATTCGAAGAAGAGAATACATAGTAGAAAAATATATTACTAAAACATCCTTCAATGTTGACAAAGAAAATCTGCATTAATTTTTCGCTATTTTATTTCTATCTGGTAATGGCACCATCATGGGTTTCTTAAAAAGTGACTTTGCACTGTGGCTAGGAGCATACCAAACACGGTTGTCAGTTTCAGTGCAATTTAGTCATTCTAAATTTATTTCTTAATTAATTGTTCATAAGATGACTTGTTTTTATTAACTTATTGTTGTTCTATTGTCAAGAAAAAAATATAAAATCCCCCATTAAAGGCATACCTAGGATCTTGCATTTGATTTGTTTCCATTACTACAACCATGGAGGCATTTCCAAACATCATGTCAATTATTTGGTGACCACTCTGTGTTCTGACACCCCTTTTCCGACACCCCTATGTTCCGACAACCTGCACAAAAGATTGCGTTTAACTCCCGGTTAGGGTTAGGGTTAGAGATAGAAATATGTGCATTTGGAACATAGAGGTGTCGAAACATATAGCTAGGGGTGTCGGAAAAAAGGCGTTGGAACATAGGTGCGTAACCAATTATTGATAAGAAGGGTAAAACCTGAAAACCTAGTATTGATCATGTCAATGGACTGATCGTTGGAAATCACCTTACATTTCTTGATTTCTTCCAAATGACAGCAAGCCAGACAGAGTCATTTCACGGGGTGTTTAGTACCGGTGTGAACTTTAATCCCATTACTGGACCGAGCCCAGTCTAATATGGCTTTCTCAGATGAAGGTAGTTCTCCAGCACTTAACTGGTTCGTCACTCGTCACTCAGATTCTGATTGGAGGCAGGTGGCTCTGGACAACGATGCACATACATTGGGGATAGCCTGACTGTATGATCATGGAGCTGAAGAAAAAGGCTCCATGGTATGATCAAGGACAAACCATGCACTCCCCCTACATGTGCGAACATATTTATGGTGGTTAATAATAATTGATTGAGAAGCCATTAGGCCTATCTCAGTAGGGTGCTCATGAATGCGAATCCGGGAAACCCGGGTTTGCGAAAATTCCAGCCGCATTAGACTGGGCTGGGTCCAGTAATGACATGTTTCTGGATAATAATTCACTAGGTTAATTTTGGGATAAAATGCAAATGAGCAGCCTTTAATAATGAACGAAGTATAATTTGATCGTTAACTACTTACAATGCAAGTTGACCTGCCACCTGCGTCGGTTCCTTTTCGCACAGGCCTTCCACGAACCGACTCCAGTCGACGTGGTGGCCACGTGGACAATACCTTGACGTGCGACACGTAAGAGCGCCCTCACGGTTCTCCACCAGCCAGGAATCGGCCCCTACGGTGGGCTGGTGGTCCTTGGAGAGGAAGGCAAATACCCCTCGCCAGTAAGGTGGGAACTTCATGATGTAATCTCCAAATTCCATATCTAGACATTTGTAATTATGCCAACTGAGGATTAGCCTTAAGGTAATCAGTAATAATAATACTAATATAGTAATAAGCCAGTAGTACAGAAAAAATGTTGCAACCTGACGCCACTTCCGCGATTGTGTACAAAGTCTATGGAGAGACAAGAACATTTTTAAGTATTTCCTAACAAAAATTTGAAATGTTTCAAACTCCCAGATTCATGTCTTCAACAGTTCTGGTTTTAATCTCATCAATTATCATTTTCTTTGCAATGGCACGTAACGACCTTCAATTTTGACTGAGTGATGAAGAAAAAGTAGCGTCAGGTTTCAACATTTTCCCGATCACTCCTTCTAGTTCTATTGTGTTATGAGGAAAACATGATCAAGGAAAAGATACTGAGTAACTGACTGATAATTCTAACAATCCCATTGCTCAAATTGCAAGACATTATCATTACGCACCGTGCAATTTACCAAAATGTCGACACTGTCGTCTGCAACTGCAAAATTGCAATTTGACAAACGCCCTCTATAGTTCCTGCCCTGCATATTAGTGCAGTGCGTACGGTGGCTGATTTCCGCCAAGAGAGAGAGAGAAAAAAAACATTACGGCGTTACTCCGCCCTATTTTTTACGGCGCTATAGCCGTCACCCATAGTCTGAAGGTTCTGGGACCCACAAACATAACAAAAAGAGCGTGGGCCTTATTTAACCAGTAAAAGGCCAATGGACAAAGCACAGAAAGCAAGGAATAACGCCTACCTGCAGAGCCCGACGGATTATTGATAAGAACTTCAGGAGAAGAAGACGGCCAGAGCATACTGACCGGAACGTCGAGTTTATACCTCTGGTTCTTTTCAGAACCATTCTCTTAGTTGAGAAATTATTCGCACATGGTGGTTCCGCAAACCTTTCATTATTTAGCAATTAAATAAAAACACGAAGTCAAGTACATTTTTGTATAACACAACGAACACAAATATTTGAGTAAAAAGATAAATCAAATTAAATACGAATATAAACAATTATTACACAATATAATACTGAAAAACATAACAAAATTTGTAGCAGCCGTCTTCGAGGACATTGCCTTCGTTTTGCTGGAATGCGCATGAGCGAATCTTTGCTAAAAGATAAAGAAAAGATGGCCCTCTAAGATGGCCGCTGTATAATTATACGCATAAGGTCTATACATCGTGAAGGACCAAAATAAAAGTAAGTGAGGTTTTTTTCAAATAAATATTATAAAAGCTGTAATCAATATGTCGTTTTTTGATTGTGAGTAAAATAATTTCCCATGATTTGTTTTAGTGAATTCACATGTCCTGGTGAAAACGTGATGTAGCCTACACGTGCGTGGATTGATGAAACTGAAACTTTAATTTCTGAAAACAAAATGTTTTCATATAGGTTAAAACGTTTATATAGTAGGCCAAAAAAAAAAATCGGTCTCTGGTCAGACCAAAGTTCCGGAATTGACGCGCGACGCGGCTTTTTTTTTTTTCTTTTTTTTTCTTTTCTTCAAGCTTGGATTGTACAGACAAGGTGGGGTACTATTTTGCTTTTTTTGGTGTCCTCATGTACATTGGTGTCCTCCATAATTTGCCTAGGTGCTTTCGATCATTTGCCTTGGTGCAATTTCCCATTCCTTCGTGCTCTTTGGTTAAACAAATTGAGGAGGTGCGGAAATAGAGGGCGCTGTTGGAGCTACCGCGGAACATTTTGGAAAAAAAAAGATCGACGCGCATGATTAAAATCGACGCGCGCGCTGACCAGAGACCGACTTATTTTTTTTTGGCCTTATATTGTATTGTTTTACTTTTGTCAATTACAATTTCATTACAGTGTCTGTTTTACAATTCTTATCAATTTCTTGTACACACTGGGAACGACGAACTGTCACTTTTAGTTTTAGCCACATTTTTGCCATTTTCGCTTCTCTTCTCAATTAATACCGACACACCGGTTAATTCATTATAATTTTAAGGATCCTGAACCGAATGATACCTTCTTAAACTCTCACATTTGCCGTATTGTATAATCTATTGCAACACAATAACAATCCACCTTTTACAATATTATCACAAAATATTTTGAAAAGAAATACAGATAATTTGAGCATGCACTAATAAGAGATTGGATTTATATGCTTTAAATAAGAGATTGGACAAAAGGAGTGCCAAATAACGAGGGAAAAATACTCTAACCAATGCAAATTGTTTACCGTAGATTTCAGTATGCTTTATTCACTAATCACATGACCACAATAAACTGAAGTAAGCAATTACATAAAGTTATAATTACTAAAAGAAACAAAATCTTAAATGGGCATAATGATGAAACTAAAACTAACATAAAAAATGTACATACAGTACAAAAGGAAAACCTTCATGCCATTCGGGTAATAGTCATATAAATACATATAACTTTCTATACAAGTTCAGGTACAGAGTCCACGCATGAACAAAATATGGTTTATTAAACCGTGTCAACGTCTCAATTGTATCGCAGAAACGCTAAAGGACCAACTTTGCAAGTCATTGTAAACACGTAAATGTTCACTAGATCCCAAGTATTGACCCAAGAATAATAGATAACTAAATATAAACGGACATACAAATTCTAAGATAACGCTTTGGGCTTGCAGGAGGGGGTTTTTGACAAAAAAACCTGGGTGGTGGTGTAAATCTCCGTGTGGGTCCACCGCAACATTTTTTGGTCTCCCGGCTCTAAGGGATAAACACGACACCGTTCATAAGTTTATCAACTAAATAAACTCACTTGTATAATAGAATTCGACTGTTACGAAAGCCCGTTAGTGCCATCGAATGTATAAATTGCTCTTTTGCAAGTATATGTTTGGTGAATCTTGTTTTTCGGATGTATATGTTTGTGGAATCTTGTTTTTCGGATGTATATGTTTAGCAAATCTTGTTTTTTGGATGTATATGTTTAGCAAGTCTTGTTTTTTGGATGTATATGTTTGGCGAATCTTGTTTTTTGCAAGTATATGTTTCCCGAGTCTTGTTTTTTTGCAAGTATATGTTTCCCGAGTCTTGTTTTTTTGCAAGTATAAATTTGGCAAATCTTGTTTTTTGCAAGTATGTTTCGCGAGTCTTGTTTTTGTGAAGTCTATTTTTAGTAACAGTCTTGTTTTTTGCAAGTATATGTTTCCTGAGTCTTGTTTTTTGCAAGTATGTTTCGCGAGTCTTGTTTTTGTGAAGTCTATTTTTAGTAACAGTCTTGTTTTTTGCAAGTATGTTTCCCAAGTCTTGTTTTTGTGAAGTCTATTTTTAGTAACAGTCTTGTTTTTTGCAAGTATATGTTTCCCGAGTCTTGTTTTTTGCAAGTATATGTTTCCAGAGTCTTGTTTTTTGCAAGTATATGTTTCCCGAGTCTTGTTTTTTGCAAGTATAAATTTGGCAAATCTTGTTTTTTGCAAGTATGTTTCGCGAGTTTTGTTTTTGTGAAGTCTATTTTTAGTAACAGTCTTGTTTTTTGCAAGTATATGTTTCCCGAGTCTTGTTTTTTGCAAGTATATATTTCCCGAGTCTTGTTTTTTGCAAGTATATGTTTCCCGAGTCTTGTTTTTTGCAAGTATATATTTCCCGAGTCTTGTTTTTTGCAAGTATATGTTTCCCGAGTCTTGTTTTTTGCAAGTATATGTTTCCCGAGTCTTGTTTTTTGCAAGTATATGTTTCCCGAGTCTTGTTTTTTGCAAGTATAAATTTGGCAAATCTTGTTTTTTGCAAGTATGTTTCGCGAGTTTTGTTTTTGTGAAGTCTATTTTTAGTAACAATCTTGTTTTTTGCAAGTATATGTTTCCCGAGTCTTGTTTTTTGCAAGTATATGTTTCCCGAGTCTTGTTTTTTGCAAGTATATGTTTCCCGAGTCTTGTTTTTTGCAAGTATATGTTTCCCGAGTCTTGTTTTTTGCAAGTATAAATTTGGCAAATCTTGTTTTTTGCAAGTATGTTTCGCGAGTTTTGTTTTTGTGAAGTCTATTTTTAGTAACAGTCTTGTTTTTTGCAAGTATATGTTTCGCGAGTCTTGTTTTTTGCAAGTATATGTTTCCCGAGTCTTGTTTTTTGCAAGTACATGTTTGGCGAGTCTTGTTTTTAGGAAGTATATATGTAGGGACCCGATCTGCTCCTCCCCACACAAAATTGTTGCACCCCTATTTTTATTTTTGGAATAGTCCTACTAGCTAGTACTCATGGCGACCGTTTTAACCGATTTTCGGCTAACTTTTTGTTAAAAAACGAGTTTGACAATATTGATAGTTTCTCTATCAATATTGATACCACTCTGAACGCATCGCAAGTGCATTCATCTATAGGGGTCCACTGTACTAATTCAAGCCCCATTGAAAACAGTGTAAAATCAACAAAGTTCAGGGCCAAGTAACATGCAAGCCAACATCACTGGGGTTTCTGAAACAAAAATTAAATTATTGTCTTGTCTTTCATCTTTTCATTTCTTTTCAATTTTACGTATATTAGCCAATTACATTTTTAAATATTCACACCCAAATAAAATCACCTCCCGAAAAGTGATAGTTCCCGAGCCTGCATGTAGCCATTTTACAAGTGGCACCCTTCCACTTTCACAGGCAAATAGGACCCATTTTTTCATCCGTGATTTTATCAAGCCTGCCCTCAGATGGAAGCCCTAAAACCAGGGAGTTGATCCTTGGGTATATTTAAACAATTCCACCGTTTTTAAAGCCAAACGGTCTCCGTTTTCAAAAGAAATTGTCGGGGGGGGGGGGCACTTTTTATGCTAATCAGCTGGCGTAGAAATTCTCGCTTGAATTAGTTCAGTGCACCCTATAGGCCCTAGCCATGCAGTTGCCCGGATGTTTGCAACTCTCCTTCAATAAAGGTGGCGACGTCTACAATATCGGTGTGACTTTTTCGCCGAAAAAGACCTAAAACTCGCAGTTTCCGGTTAAGATGCCGTTTGCTGATGATAATATTGTTGTTTGCGAGAAGTGATGCAATTATTTCGTCGCAATTAAGGCCTAAATTGAAGTAATAACGAATTAATTGGTGGCATGGCTATACTTTCATCACAAACAACAGCGCCCTCATGATGCACACCGCAGCTATAACAAACTTAAAACAAGTCAGGTGTGTTTACAAACACAAATGCCCCGCCGTGATTATTCCAATGACATAACAGCACTCTTTTAACATCAACTTACATGTACCTTGGTCACATGGAACGTTCATTGACAGCATTAGTGTCTTCTGTAGGTTTTATATGAATTAATCCCTAATCCCTATGATCTCAGAATAAATACAAGATTTTTGAAGTTCATATGTTAAGGATTTCTCAAGTTATCGCGCTGACAAGATTTGTCCGGACACACACACACACCTTCTCAAATTTGTATCCTTGTGGAGACATTCCTTTGTTCTCGTGTAGTAAAGTTTTCAATTTCACCCCCCCCCCCCCCCACACACACACCCCGGTTTACGTTACATACCTTGTGTGGACATTCCTTTGTTTTCGTGTAGTTAAGAAAACTCGGTACA